GGTGGTGACCCTTTGAGATCCGTATGCAACGAAATTTCATTTTAATGTACGTGATTAGTGTACATCCAAAGTGACGATAAAGTCATTATTAGTCTAGAGGCCTCCATAGAAAAATGGTGACATTTCCATGGCCTCTATCACATCCCTTTTGAGCCTTGGATTACAATCCCCCAGGAGTATCTTTTGAGAATGAACTACAGGTAGCCCTCAACTTACGACCACAATTGAGCCCCACATTTCTGTGGTTAAGCGAGTTAAGTGAGTTTTGCCCCATTTTACGACCTTTTGCTACAGTTGCTAAGTGAATCGCCGCAGTGGGATACGTTAGTAACCCGGTTGTTAAGTGAATCTGGCTTCCCCCTTGATTTTGCTTGTCAAAAGGTCGCAAAAGAGGACAGCAATGGTCATAAGTATGAGTCAGTTGCCAAGTGTCTGAATTTTGATCACATGATCATGGCGACGCTGCAAAGGTCGTAAGTGTGAAAAACGGTCATAAGTCACTTTTTTCAGTGCCGTTGTAACGTTGAACAGTCACTAAACGAACTGTTGTCAGTCAAGAATTACCTGTAAAGGTTAGGGTTCAGGTCTCCTCTGGGAGACCTAACTTAATTAACTCTGTGTTTAATAATAATAATAATAATAATAATAATAATAATAATAATAATAATAATAATAATAATAATAATAATAATAATAAAAAAAAGTTGGAAGGGATCTTGGAGGTCATCTAGTCCAACCCCCTGCTCAGGCAGGAAACCCTGTACTATTTCAGACAAATGGCTGTCCAGTCTCTTCTTAAAAACTTCCAGTGTTGGGGCATTCACCACTTCTGGAGGCAGGTTGTTCCACTGGTTAATTGTTCTCACTGTCAGGAAGTTTCTCCTTAGTTCTAGGTTGCTTCTCTCCTTGATCAGTTTCCACCCGTTGCTGATATGTGGATTAGGTCTGGGTAACTTATTTGAGGAAGATTGTTTTGCAGCCGACCATCTTCCCGATTATCTTTATAATATTTGTATCCAGACATTTAATAAAGGATCTTCACCTGCACCATAGAAGGTGGGGAGGTGCCAACTGAAACCCAGAGAGTGCCCGGTGGCAGAGAATTGGTTTAAACGATACATACCTGGAATCAGGTGGCAGGTAATCTCTTAACCAAGTCAGTAAAAGGCCAATGGGTGCAGATACTGGAGGCTCTACAGTTGCTGAGCTGTTGAGGCTTAAGTGTGCGTTGGGTGGGTGCAGCCCATGGTTCCTCCTCCTGGCTTCTCTGCAGCTGAACGCGGATGGTCAGTGGGCTGCCCCCTTTGAAATGGTTTTTTTCTAAATTAAACTGGTGCTTCGCTTCCTTCGCCAGCATTTCAGTCCCTCTGCTGCGCCCACTGCGGAGAAAAATCAGTATTTTGGGCTGTTTGTGGGGAAACCATCACGGGCCTTCCAAAGCGAACAGCAGGGGCTGTATATTTAATAGCTCTCTGTGGTTAGCTTAGGAAGGCATCTTTATTTCCTTTCTTTCTGAGGAAAGCAACACAAAAATCTCAATTTCGTGGAGTGATTCTGAAAGCATTATTGTATAAAGCGGGGGGGGGGGCAGTTAATTTTCCCAAGAGGCCACATGAGAAACTGTTGTGGAGGGCCGAGAATAGAATAGAATAGAATAGAATAGAATAGAATGCAGAGTAGAGTAGAGTAGAGTAGAGTAGAGTAGAATGGAATGGAATGGAATGGAATGGAATGGAATGGAATGGAATGGAATAGAATAGAATAGAATAGAATAGAATAGAATAGAATAGAATAGAATAGAATAGAAAGTGGAATGGAATGGAATAGAATAGAACAGAACAGAAAATAGAACAGAATAGAATAGAATAGAACAGAAAATGGAATAGAATAGAATAGAATAGAATAGAACAGAAAATGGAATAGAATAGAATAGAATAGAATAGAATAGAATAGAATAGAATAGAAGCTGGAAGGGACCTTGGAAGTCTTCTAGTCCAGCCCCCTGCTCAAAGCAGGAGAATCTATACCATCTCAGACTTAATTCAATATTAATTTTATTGGTTTATAAAAAGGTTGACTCAGCCTTCCATCCTTCCGAGGTGGATAAAATGAGGACCCAGATTGTTGCGGGCAAAAGGCTGAGTCTGTAAACCGCTTAGAGAGGCCTGTAAAGCACTGTGAAGCAGTATATACGTCTAAGTGCTATTGCTTTATAAAAAGCATTAAATTATATGGGTTTGAATGCCATGAAGGTGCGTAGGCACACATGCCCACAAGTAAATTGGGAAAAAAGTAGTTTTTTGCAATGCAGTTGTACTGCATGCACGGTGTACCTTTAATTATTTTCGATGTCTAAACGACCTCACGTGGGCTGCATAGAGGCAGTCAAAGAAAGTTCGTAAAATGGAGCAAAACTCACTTAACTAAGGTCTCACTTAACAACAGAAATTTTGGGATCCATTTTCGTCATCAATTGAGAACGACCCACTTTCCAAAGGCAGAATGGAGCAAGTCGCCGTGGCCAGCACGCCGTGGGGCAGGACAATTGAACAATTCAATTTAATTCAACATTTTAATTTTCGCCATTCGCATGTCGTTCTGTCCCTCCTTTTGCATCTTTTCTTTCATGATTCTTTTCCACCATTTTTTTTATATTAGGGTAACTCTTGTCCCGTGGCAAGTTATCCCACGGCAAGTTGGCCCACAGCGAGTCATCCCACGGCACGTTGGCCGTGGTGAGTTGGCTGTGGTAAATTGTCATATAGGCCCTTCTGAAGGCCAGCTCTTTTATATGTGTTGTCTTTGAAAAGATTGATAGTGGTTTATTTAAAAAGGTGCATCCCCCCCCTTCGCCCTTAAATTAAGTTTAACAGTGTTTTCTCATCCTTGCCTTATTCCTTAACTTTTCTATACTGTTTTGATATTTTAACACTTCATCGTACAGCAGTCAGGGTCCCTCTCTGAGGGAGCTGGGCGGTTCAAAACTGTGACAGATAGATAGATAGATAGATAGATAGATAGATAGATAGATAGATAGATAGATAGATAGACAGACAGACAGACAGACAGACAGACAGACAGACAGACAGACAGACAGACGTTACAGATGGATGGATGGATGGATGGACGGACGGACGGACGGACAGACAGACAGTTAAGGATAGATAGATAGATAGACAGACTATTCTAGAACACAGACAGACAGCAAAAGTTTAGATGTTGCTCTCTCAGGGCTGACCAAGTGAGGATCATGTTCAGTCCCCAGGGTCCCTCTCTGAGGGAAATGGGCGGTCCAAAACTGTGGTAAATAAATGAACGAACGAACGAACGAATGAGCAAATAAATAAAGAAATAGCAAAAGTTTCGGTTGCTCTTTCGCAGTTGGCCCTGTGAGGATCAGGTTCAGGAAAAGTCCCCAGGGTCCCTCTCTGAGGGAAATGGGCGGTCCAAAACTGTGGTAAATAAAGAAATAAACAAATGAATACATTCAATGAGACGTATTCCTTACCAAGCTCAGTGCTCAAGCTTGTGGTGGAAGTTCAAAGTTGGCCTGTCCTGGGTATACATAAGAATCACCCATTATTTATGTGTAAAATTTAGATTTTCAAGCCACACTCCTCCCCTCTAGCCCATTTCCCTTGTTTTTCTCTGGAGTTTGCAGACTGTGGTGCTGTGGACAGAGGTGGCGTTGTGTGGAGGGGTGGACTACACCCTTCCCTTACACATCCTTTTGCAGGATCCTTAAACGGTGTGCTCTTTTCCACACACTGAGCTGTTGTTGAGGAAGCGAGCTGTGGATGAGCTCAGTCAGAGACGATCAGAGAAAGGTTTCAAGCCAATACATTTATATTGCTTTCTTTTGCAAAGACATAACGAAATGCACTCGTTTTCATTAGCAAAGCATTTTACGTGCCTTTGTATTAATTAGACACTTTCTCTAAGTCCTGTTGTCAGCTCAGAGAAACTTTCTTAAGAAAAGACTGGACAGCCATTTGTCCAGAATTATACAGAGGTCTCCTGCAGGAGCAGGGGGTTGGACTAGAAGACCCCCCAAGGTCCTTTATTATTCCGTAAGTGTTTCTCAACCGAAGCAGCTTGAAAATGTCTGTCCTTTAACTCCCAGACTTCCCCAGCCAGGCTGAATAATTCAAACCAATCAGATAAGCAACTCTCAGGCTGATGCTTTAATTCAACCTTCCCCAATATGAACTCCTGTAGATGTCTAGCATATTCGCTGATGGAAAGCTAGCTAGGAGTTGTGGGGTTCGCAATCCAACATATCTGAAAGGCTGACTTAAAGAGTGACCAATTTTTGTTATGAGGATTGCAGAGTACTGCTAGAGCAGGGGTAGGCCACCTTGGCTCTTTTATGACTCGTGGACTTCAACTCCCAGAATTCCTGAGCCAGCCATGTTGAGGGGAAAGGGAGAGGTTTCTAAGCTGAGCCATGCTGGCTGAGGAATTCTGGGAGTTGAAGTCCACCAGTCATGAGGGGGCCATAGTTCCCTCATGCTGGCTCAGGAATTCTGGGAGTTGAAGTCTACAAGTCATAAAAGAGCCAAGGTTGCCTACCTCTGGCCTAGGCCTAGGCTGCATTATGACTCGTGGACTTCAACTCCCAGAATTCCCGAGCCAGCATGTCTCAGCTTGGAAACCTCTCCCTTTCCCCTCAGCATGGCTGGCTGAGGAATTCTGGGAGTTGAAGTCCACAAGTCTTAAAGCGGCCGAGTTTAGAGACTCCTGGTCTAGATCCTGTTTTTAGCATGCTGTGGCTCTTAGTATGAATTGGTTCATACTTACTTTTAACTCTGGGCGGCATTTTTGAGTCTCTCCCAAATGAGCAGCTTTGAGAAGCCAAGATCAACCACTGGGCACAGACCACGGTTCCACCTGCTTTCTTTTTCCTCTGGAATCCGTTGGTTGAATTAACCAAAAACAGCCCAGTTTTGGAGCCAATGTAACAGAGGTGAATTTGGAAATTTCTCCTGAAGGGTTTAGCCATGGTTGAGAGGGGCTGGTTGTTTGAGCAATGTGAGCAAAAAAAAGCCTCGCTCCTCCTGCAAAACAAGTACTTGTTAAGAATCGTGATGGCGCAGTGGTTAGAATGTGGCTTTGCAGGCTGACTCTGCTCACTGCAGCAGTTCGATCCTGACCTGCTCAAGGTTGACTCAGCCTTCCATCCTTCCGAGGCCGGTAAAATGAGGACCCGGATTGTTGGGGGCAACTGGATGAGTCTGTAAACCGTTAGAGGGGGCTGTAAAGCACTGTGAAGCAGTATATAAGTCTAAGTGCTTATTCTATTCTATTCTATTCTATTCTATTCTATTCTATTCTATTCTATTATATACTCTATCCTATTCCTATTCCTATTTCCATTCCTATTTCCATTCTATTCCTATTCCTATTTCCATTTCCATTCCTATTTCCATTCCACCCCATTCCATTCCATTCTATTCTATTCTATTGCCATGGTGGCGCAGTGGTTAGAATGAAGTATTGCAGGCTAATTCTGCCCATAGCCAGCAGTTCGATCCTGATCTGCTCAAGGTTGGCTCAGCCTTCCGTCCTTCCGAGGCCAGTAAAATGAGGACCCAGATTGTTGGGGGCAAAAGGTTGACTCTGTAAAACCGCTTAAAGAGTGCTGTAAAGCACAATGAAGTGGTATATAAGTCTAAGGGCCATTGCTATTGGTCAACAGAGGACCCTACAAAGGGACTGGGGGAAGTTGTGATCCAGCAACCCTTTTGCATGTATATCTCTAGACTAGAGCAATTTGTTTTGTTTGTCTATTTGTTGAGGGTTGTGCATTTTGAGCAGACGGAGAGAGAGAGAGTGAGAAAAAGATTGATAGAGAGAAAGGGAGGGGGAGAGAGAAAGTGAGAAAGATAGAAAGAAAGAGGGAGAGGGAGAGAGAGAGAGAGAGAGAGTCACCTAAAAGCCTCTGGGTTCTGGAAAATACAAATTTGAATGAGTTTGAATCTTGGTAATTTCATGGATGCATCTCTACTATTTTCTTCTTCCAGATAATTCTCTTTGACTTCTCCCTCTAGCCCAGATTCAAGAACTAACCAAATTCTCCTGCTTCGCTTTTGGGAATTTGCTAAGCTTGACCCACTAGCTTTGCACGTTGCGCAAATGCATCAATGCATCCCTTCCAGTGCCCCAGTAAACCTGGTTGTCTGAATAGCGCCTCATTTCTCCTGCATGAAAGGAAAAAAGGAAGCGGCAAGGTCTCCAGCTCCGTCTTTTTCCCTCCCTCCAGGCCGGGTCACCCCTTTTAACATCGATGTGAAAAGAGCTCAGATCTTTCGTGGGCCTCAGGATGCCCAGTTCGGCTATAAAGTCCTGCAGTTCACAGCTCAAGAGCAACAATGGTGAGTTTGTGCAGCTGTGTTGAGGCTGCTTTTTTATTCCTACTCCTTCGTCTGCCCCCCCCTCCACCCAAGAATCAACAAGAAAGAAGCTCACTACTTCAAAGATGCAAAATGTACTATAGCGAGTAAACTCTCGTGGACTATCAGATGCATGGAATAAAGTACAGGCAATCCTTGACTTAAAACAGTTCATTGGACAACCTGCCTCCAGAAGCTGCGAATGGAAGCTTTTAAGAAGAGACTGGACAGCCATTTGTCCGAAATGGTATAGGGTTTCCTGCCTGAGCAGGGGGTTGGACTAGATGACCTCCAAGGTCCCATCCAACTTTATTATTATTATTATTACATTTAGTGACCGTTCAAAGTTACAACATCACTGAAAAAAAGTGACTTAGGACCATTTCTCACACTTACGACCGTTGCAGCCTCCCCAGGGTCACGTGATCAAAATTCGGACATTTGGCAATTGATTCATATTTATGACGGTCGCAGTGTCCTGAGGGGGGGTCAAGTTATTCCTTTTTGCGGCCTTCTGACAAGCAAAGTCAATGGGGGGACCAGATTCACTTAACAGTTGTGTTACTAACTTAACAACTGCAGCGATTCACTTACCAACAGTGGCAAGAAAGATGGTAAAATGGGGTGAAAGTCACTTAACTGTCTCGCTTAGCAACGTAAAGGTGGAGCTCAATTGTGGTCGTAAGTCGAGGTCCACCTGTATAATGCATTCAAATGGGGGGGGGGAGTTGTACAACATGATCAGCCACAAAAGAACAAATTAAGGTTCAGGTTACTAACCGAGATTAAGTGTGCAGGTGCAGCTGTGAGGAGGCCTGAGAGATGTTTTAAGTCTCAGGTTTTGCCTTGGGGTCCCGTAGGATGGCCATCCTGCGGGGTGCTGGACCGGGGAAGACCTGCACTGGGCAGGGGGCCAGTCCATGTGAAGTGATTTTCCCTGCTTCCTCTCCTATGGTCCCATAAAGAAACCTCTGCTTCTTTTAACAGAGAGCTGAGGAATCATTTTGTCTGAAATGGTATAGGCCAGGGGTAGGCAACCTTGGCTCTTTTATGACTTGTGGACTTTTTATGACCATGCTGACTCAGGAATTCTGGGAGTTGAAGTCCACGAGTCATGAAGGGGCCAAAGTTTACGTCATGCTGGCTCAGGAATTCTGGGAGTTGAAGACCACGAGTCATGAAGGGGCCAAAGTTTCCCTCATGCTGGCTCAGGAATTCTGGGAGTTGAAGTCCACGAGTCATGAAGGGGCCAAAGTTTACCTCATGCTGGCTCAGGAATTCTGGGAGTTGAAGTCCACTAGTCACGAAGCGGCCAAAGTTTACCTCATGCTGGCTCAGGAATTCTGGGAGTTGAAGACCACGAGTCGTGAAGGGGCCAAAGTTTCCCTCATGTTGGCTCAGGAATTCTGGGAGTTGAAGTCCACGAGTCATAAAAGAGCCAAGATTCACTACCCCCAGTATAGGGTTTCCTACCTGAGCAGGGGGTTGGACTAGAAGACCTCCAAGGTCCCTTCTAACTCTGTTATTCTCTACCGTAGCAAATATTATATGAGAGACTTGAGGAGGCTATTATCATTTTGTGCTCACTGAGAGGAACCTTAGATAGGGGGCAAAATGGCTGGGTCAGCCTGGGGGCTTGCAAGGAAAAACCCACTTGGGAAACCTGTCTTTGCCATCTACAGAGAGGGACAATGAGGATATTGGAATAAGGAAAGAATGGATGTTGTAACCCTACTGAAGGATGCGTGGTTAGGTTTGGGGAGTGGCGTGACATGATAGCAGCGTTCCAATATTTGAGGGGTTGTCACAAAGAAGAGGGGGGTCAACTTATTTCTCAAAGCACCTGAAGGCAGGACAAGAAACAATGGATGGAAACTAATCAAGGACAGAAGCAACCTGAAACTAAGGAGAAATTTCCTGACAGTGAGGACAATTAACCAGTGGAACGGCTTGCCACTGGAGGTTTTTAAGAACAGACTGGACAGCCACTTGTCTGAAATGGTATAGGGTCTCCTGCTTGAATAAGGGGTTGGACAAGAAGACCTCCAAGGCCCCTTCCAGCTCTATTCTGATTGATTGGAGTACCTCTTCATCACGAAGTCTGAAAATGCACTTTGATTTTTCTGCCATTCAGTTTTGGGACATCGAGCCCGTTGCCAACTGCAAGCCTCCAGTTCTGCTTTTTCAATCATTAAGGACACTGAGTTGTCTTGTGGACGTCCCCAGTCAAACATCAGCTGTTTTGTGAAACATTTAATAAAGTACAAAAAAACAATTGGCAGCCTTCCCTCTGGAAATAATTTAGGGATGAATGCAGGTGGGGGAATACAGCAACTGCTTCCAACCGGTGATTTGGGTCCAAAGATCAACCCAGAGCAGGAAATAGTGCTTATAGACCGTGAGAGTGACCAGCAGTTTGGGCAGCTGCCCCACTGTGGCAAAAAAAGCCACAAAGTTTGAGGTGGAGCTGATGAATGGGTTCTGCAGATGGGGCAGGAAATGGGATGAGTCACATAGCAGGAAATCATAGGAAGAAGTTGGCGGGAACTCGTGTTCAGATGGGACGTTGCAGAGGATGAAAATGGCCATTTAGTGACCGGCTGATGAGAAAAAAACCCAAAGTATCCTCAGGGCTGATGATTGTTTGTAGTAGGAAATTGTTGTCCATCTTGTTTTATTTTCCACAATTGAGACGAACATTTCTGTTGTTAAGTGAATTTTGCCCCCATTTTATGCCCTCTCTTGCCACCGTTGTTAAGTGGACCGCTGCAGTTGCAAAGTTAGCAAGACAGTTGTTAAGTGAACTTGGCTCCCCCATTGACTTGGCTTGACCGGAGGCTGCAAAAGATGATCACATGACCCTGGGACACTCTAACCGTCATAAATACGAGTCGGTTGCCAAGCTTCTGAATTTTGATCACATGATCGTGGAGAGGCTGCACCGGTCGTAAGTGTGAAAAAATGGTTGTAAGTCACTTTTTTCAGTTTCATTATAGGGTCCCCAACTCTTTATTCCTTTGTTTGGTTTAGTTGTTTGGTGCCCAATTTTGGATGAACGGATGGACAAAATCGGTGTCCGCATTTAGAGACAATTCTTAGATCTTTAGGAAATGCTCCAGAGGATTCATTCATCCATTATCCTTCTGTTTCTCTAATTCCCTCACCCTCTCCACAAAACCTTTTTCCTGTCCTTTGTTCACTCCCTTTACATGCCCAAAATATGTGAGCTTCTCCAGTTAACCTTTATTTGGTCCAAGATTGACTGGTTCTTCTTGTAATCCACTGCCTGTTAGTAACGCTCCCCAAATCCATAGTTAGAAGGTGCTGCACTTCTTCTGCCTGCTGTTTCTTGCTCTCTGACCTTTGTTGTTAATGAAATCTCCTCATGTTTCATATTCTTCTGTTAATGTCTTCATTCCAAGTGTTCCTCTTCTCAATACTTTCCCGCCCACTGTTTATCTCTTCTTGAGTCCGAGGAAACAACCACTTTTACTCCATCACTCTGTAATTTAGCCAAATTCTGCAGGATTGAAGCAGAATTGTGAATTTGTGCTTCCCAGCAGCCTGAACCAACTTGTTCAGTGGGAAAAGAGGCTGAATTTGTACTTCTCCAGCTCTGTCTGCAGCCTGTTGGGAACCAGGCGATGCAAGCAGTGGGTGAACGAGCAAAGCTTCATTTGCACATATGCGGGATCTAGTTTACATGCACGAACCTATCCCCTCCCCATCCATGGAAGACAATTTTTCTTCTGAAACCGCTTTTTGGCATCAGAAAGGTTGGGATTGCTGATCTAGAGGGTCTGACAGGAATCGCCAACACCCCAGAAGACAAGCTCAGGATCCAAAAATATATTGATAGACTTGAACAATGGGGCCTATCCAACAAAATAAAATTTAACGTGGAGAAAAGCAAGGTTTTACACCTGGGCAGGAAAAACCCAAAGGCACAAGTACAGATTGGGCGAAACTTGGCTCAAAAACAGTAACTGTGAGAGGGACCTTGGAGTCCTAGTGGAGGATCACTTAAACATGAGCCAGCCGTGTGCAACAGCAGCCAGAAAAGCAAATACAATCCTTGGTTGTATAAACAGAGGCATAAAATCAAAATCACGTGAAATGTTAGTACCACTTTATAAATCCTTAGTAAGGCCACACCTGGAATACTGCATCCAGTTTTGGTCACCACATTACAAAAAACATGTTGAGACTTTGGAAAAAGTGCAGAGAAGAGCAACTCAGATGATTAAAGGCCTGGAGACGAAAACATATGAAGAACAGTTGCAGGATTTGGGTTTGGCTACTCTAGAGAAAAGAAGGATGAGGGATCTTCCAATATTTGAGGGGCTGCCACAAAGAGGAGGGGGTCAACTTATTCTCCAAAGCACCAGAAGGCAAGACAAGAAACTACTGATAGAAACTGATCAAGGAGAGAAGCAACCTGGATTTAAGGAGAAACTTCCTAACGGTAAGAACAATTAACCAGTGGAACAACTTGCCTCCAGAAGATGTGGGTACTGCAACAATGGAGGCTTTTAAGAAAGGAAATTTCCAACATTTATTTGTAGAAACCAAAATTAACTCACCTCAGGGCTACACTGTTAAAAAAAATGGAGCCAGCTGTTCAAAATTCATCTCTGAATCCTCCTTTTTTCCCTTTAGAAAATATTGGGGTGTGGGTCTGTTAAAGGGGTTTCTGCCTCTTTTCTCACCCTAGAAAGCAAGGGAACGTTGCAGTTGTAACCAAAGAGAACCACTCAAAAAATAAACAACAACAAAATCCCACGGTTTTCATCCAGACATACTTTTTTCTCCCTTAAGATAAATGCATCATGTTACTCAAAGCCGTGAGGAATATGTGGGTTACATTTTGGCAGCAATGAAAAACCAGGAGAATTGCAAATGAAAAGACAATATGTTTGAATTGTGAATTGTAGGAATGGGGAGGTTGTCTGGATTATATTTTTATACACAGATGAAAAACAGATCAGGCTGTTCAGATACTTCATTCTCTTTAGTTCTCAAGGACTGGTCCAAAAGCCAACACAAAACACATCTACATGATTGACCAAGGCTCATTTAAGAACAGACCCCTCCACCTGCCCACCCTGGGAAAAGTGGTGTCCCCAGAAACAGTTTTCCTGATACAATTGCAATTTTATGGAGGACTCTCTCTCATTTTTAACCCTCTCGTGTTTGCCTCACATTGATTTTATTTCTAGTTTTGGATGAGGTTTAATTTTATCAAGTCTTTCTAACACAGATGCTTCTCTCATTAGGATGTTGGTGGGCGCACCTTGGGATGGAACTGAAGATGACCGGAAAGGTGATGTTTACAAGTGCATTGTGGGAGAGAGGAAAAACTCAACATGCACTAAAGTCAATATAGGTACACGCTTTGAAGCATCCATACTATATTCAGAAATATATGGATATATGAATCTCTGAGAGTTAGCTTGGTCTAGTGGCGAAGGCACGGGGCTAGAAACCAGGAGACTGTGAATTCTAGTCCCACGTTAGGTATAAAAGCTGTCTGAGTGACTTTGAGCCGATCATCAGGAGACGGTGAGTTCTAGTCCCGCCTTAGGCATGAAAGCTGGCTGGGTGACTTTGAGCCGATCACCAGGAGACAGTGAGTTCTAGTCCTGCTTTAGGCATGAAAACCAGCTGGATGACTTTGGGCCAATCACCAGGAGACGGTGAGTTCTAATCCTACCTGAGGCATGAAAGCTGGCTAAGTGACTTTGGGCCAATCACTCATTCTCAGCCCAACCCACCTCACAGGGTCGTTGCAATGCAAAAAATAGGAGGAAGAAGGAGTATGTGATATGTTCCCCACCTTGAGTTATTTACGAAAATAATCAAGATGGGATAAAAATAAATAAGCACAACTAGTGGAGGGGCATCAGGAACGTTTAGGTGGGATTCTGGATGGAATCATTGTTTTGTGGGTGAAAAATCTTGGAGATCACCAGATCAGTCACCCAATCCCTACATAACATAAATAGCAGTATTTATATTTGGTAACCACAGTACAAAAAACATGTTGAGACTCTGGAATGAGTACAGAGAAGAGCGAAAAGGATGATTAGGGGCTGGAGCTAAAACATAGGAAGAACGGTTGCTGGAATTGGGTCTGTGTAGTTTAATGAAAAGAAGGACCAGGGGTGACATAATAGCAGTGTTCCAATATTTGAGGGGCTGCCCCAAAGAAGAGGGGGTCAACCTATTCTCCAAAGCACCTGAAGGCAGGACAAGAAACAACGGATGGAAACTCATCAAGGAGAGAAGCAACCTGGAACTAAGGAGAAACTTCCTGACAGTGAGGACAATCAACCAGTGGAACTGCTTGCCTCCAGAAGTTGTGGGTGGTCCAAAACTGAAGGTTTTTAAGAAGAGACCGAACAACCCTTTGTCTAAAATGGTATAGGTTTTCCTGCGTGAACAGGGGGTTGGACTAGAAGACCTCCAAGGTCCCTTCCACCTGTGTTATTCTGTTATTCAGTGCCAATCTTTGTTTGACAGAGCACTCTTTTGGAATGCTCCCTAATGGTTTGAAAAGGGAACAGACCATGCTGGGGGGGGGTCTTCTGACCTTCTGGAGGAGCCTCACAAGCCACTAGGTGGTTATTTTTCTGCCCACCTTTAGGGGGGAAATGGGACCCTCTTCTGGGAGGCATCTTCACTCATATTTGCCCAAAGAGCCAAATTATACCATAGAAATTCTTCCATTTTTCACAGCCAAATTTTAGCAGCTGGTTCCGTTGAGCAGAAGGCCCAGGCCTAATAGGAGATGTCTATAAATTGCAACCGAGGGATGGGGTGGGATGGGGGGCTTCTAACTCCAAAAGGGAAGGAGAGAGGTTTGAATCCTTGGATTTAAAGAGGCTTATGTGGCCCACCAATGCCACCCCATGCATCCCCCAGATTATTTATCTAATCAGTTCACCAGGGAGATCCCCTCACATAAGCCAGAAGTGTGCTGACAAACTGCTGCGAGGAAGTTTTTCCAAACATGTGTTCAGTGTTTATGACTTTGTGCAGCTTCTTCTTTAAACTGTGGTGCACAGAAGTGGAGATGGGGTTTTTTCTAAGGCAGAAAACCGTGGAATTATTTCTTCCCATGAATTGGAAATGATACTAAAAATGTGTTTGCTTTTTTTAGCCTCTGCCTCATCCTATTGACTCATAGCTGTGATCAACAGTTGTCAGGTCCTTTGCACATAGACTGCAATAATGCCCCCCCATCCCTCACCCCTTCCAGGGCTTTGTGCCTTGAAACCTCTTTCCTTTTTTTTTTTTTTTTGCAACTATTGAATACAGAATAACAGAGTTGGAAGGGACCTTGTAGGTCATCTAGTCAACCCCTGCTCAAGCAGGAGACCCTATAGACCATTTCTGACAAATGGCTGTCCAGTCTTTTCTTGAGAGCCTCCAGTGCTGGAGCACCCATAACTTTTGAAGGCAAGCTGGTTGATTGTTCTCACTGTCAGAAAATTTATTCTTATTTCTAGGTTGAATCTCTCCTTGATCAATTTCCATCCGTTATCCCTCCGGGTGCTTTGGAAAATAGATGGACCCCCTCTTCTTTGTGGCAGCCCCTCAGATATTGGAAGAAAATGAAATTCAATGGTGAAAAAAGCAAGGTTCTACATTTAGGCAAGAAAAACCAAATGTACAGGTATAGTATAGGGGGTACCTTGCTCAATAGTAGTAACTGTGAGAGGGATCTCGGAGTCCTAGTGGACAATCACTTAAATACGAGCCAGCCGTGTGCTGCAGCTGCCAAAAAGGCCAACACAGTGCTGGGCTGCATTAACAGAGGGATAGAATCAAGATCACATGAAGTTTAATACCACTTTACAAGGCCTTGGTAAGGCCACACTTGGAATACTGCATCCAGTTTTGGTCACCACAATGTAAAAAAGATGTTGAGACTCTAGAAAGAGTGCAGAGAAGAGCAACAAAGATGATTAGGGGACTGGAGGCTAAAACATATAAAGAACGGTTGCTGGAATTGGGTATGTCTAGTTTAATGAAGAGAAGGACGAGGGGGGACATGATAGCAGTGTTCCAATATCTCAGGGGCTGCCCCAAAGAAGAGGGAGTCAAGCTATTCTCCAAAGCGCCTGAAGGCAGGACAAGAAGCAACGGATGGGAACTAATCAAGAAGAGAAGCAACCTAGAACTAAGGAGAAACTTCCTGACAGTGAGAACTATTAACCAGTGGAACAACCTGCCTCCAGAAGCGGTGAATGCTCCAACACTAGAAGTTTTTAAGAAGAAACTGGACAGCCATTTGTCCGAAATGGTATAGGGTTACCTGCCTGAGCAGGGGGTTGGACTTGATGACCTCCAAGGTCCCTTCCAACTTGATGATGATGATGATGATGGTGGTGGTGGTGATGATGGTGATGATGATGATGATTAGACTGCTATCCTGTCACCCTTGGTCCTTCTTTTCGCTAGAGTAGACATACCCAATTTCTGCAATCGTATGTTTTAGCCTCCAGCCCCCTAATCATCTTTGTTGCTTTTCTCTGCACTCTTCCCAGAGTTTCAACATCTTTTTTATAGTGTGCTGACCAAAACTGAAAGGAATCAAATTCATGGAGTGAAGCAGTTGGCTGAGAGGGGCTGAAAACAGACAGGTTGAAGCACATCGGTAATTATATAGGAAAGCATGCTGGAGACGCACTTTTCAGCATTATCCAAACATTGCATTTTCCATTTTGATCTTCTTTTCTCTCTCTCTCCTTCCTTCCTCCCTCCTTTCTCCATTTCTGAATTGCAACTAGGTGACATGAGTCTCCGGAATATTTCCAGGCAAACAAAAAACATGCATTTTGGGATGACGCTGATGGCCAACAAAGATGATGGGTTTGTGGTAAGTATCTTCAATGGTATGCTTTTCTTTTTTTTTAAATAAAGCACATCCCTAACCACATATTTTAAAAAAAAAGAAAAGAAAAGAAAGAACGAGAGCTATAAAAAGCTAGCTCTGCTGCAGTAATTTCAGTTGCAAAACCATAGAAGGGTGAGGCTTGTTGACCAGCCCTAGAGCAGAACAGGGTGAGTTGGGCACAATTGCTGTTCACACAACACCCTTAATTTTGCTGCTGGAGTGGCCTGTTTGCCCCATATATCGAACCACAGAGTAATCAATAAGCTGAGCTTGTCCAATGTCCAATAACAATGCTTAACTCACTGGAGAAGAGCCTGATGCTGGGAAAGATGGAGGGCAAGAGAAGAAGGGGACGACAGAGAAGGAGGTGGCTGGATGGAGTCCCTGAAGCAGCAGACGGGAGCTTCAATGGACTCCAGAAGATGGTAGAGGACAGGAAGACATGGAGGAATGTTGTCCATGGTGTCGCGATGGGTCGGACACGACTTCACAATTAACAACAACAACAAAAACAATCTAGAGCAGTGATGGCGAAACTTTTAGAGACCAAGTGGCCAAACTGCAACCCAAAACCAACTTACTTATTGCCGGGTGCCAAGTGGGCGTGGCTGTGGCGGTCATGGCAGACCGGGTGGGTGTGGCCAAGGTGGGCGTGGTCACCTCGATGTTGCTCGTGGGGTGGGACGCCTGTGGGGGCCAGGCAGGGTTGGGGGAGATCCAGGGGGTCTCTGGCAGGTGGGGCGGTGGGCAGGAGGCTCGTCCTGTGGGGTGAGGTGAGGCAAGGCGAGGCAGGGCAAAGGTGCCATTGTCACAGGGCAAGGCGAGGCAGGGGCCAGGGCGGCTGCTGCCTGACACCATTGGCTCCCACACAGAGGCTAGCGAGCACATGGGGGCCGACAGTGTCCGTCAGCAGCCACAGCTTGCCGGCCCCCCGACCGGTGCACTCTGGGGCTCCGCAGCCCGCCGCCAGCAGTTCAGAGAAGCCGCCTCGGAGCTGGACGGCTGGCCGACAGCTGAGGAGGCGATGCAGTGGGTTGTGCCCGGGAAAAGGAGAGCATGCGAGGCCAGGAGGGATGGGACGGGGGGGAGGGAAACCAGCCATACTGGGATGCATCCGGCCACGTGAGACCTCGGCGAGTTAGCGGGCGGCTGGTTGAAGAGGGATGGTTGCCATCTCTGGGGCATGGCGTGCGTGCCCACAGAGAGGGCTCTGAATGCCGCCTCTGGCACGCGTGCCATAGGTTCGCCACCACTGATCTAGAGGGAAACGACAAAGCAAATAACAATGGCAATATCCCAAAAGATGCGTTTCAAAAGGTAACTGGACTTTGTTTTATTTTTCCTCGAAGACGTTTCACCCCTCATCCAAGAAGCTTCTTCAGTTCTGACTGAATGGCAGGGAATGGAAGGATTTATATTCCTTGCAGTTATCTGGTTGTTGTTAGCATTCTGGCAGACTGTAGGACTGCAAGGAATATAAATCCTGAAGGTCAGAGTGCTGAATGGCCAGACGCCTGCCAAGAATGTAGAACCGAAGAAGCTTCTTGGATGAGAAGTGAAACATCTTCAAAGAAAAACAAAACAAAACAAAGTCCAGTTGTCTTTTGAAAAAAAAAAAACACCTTTGGGACAACCATGATCTGGATGACTGAGAATCTCCATAGACAACGATGCTAATAATGACAAAGCGGTAAATTTTTACATTTACACTCTTTTCCATTTTTTTTTAATAATAATAATAATAATATGGGCCTAACTACCATTCATTCAATGCCATCTTAACTTTGAATGGTCACTGAACAAATGGTCATTTCAGTGAGGACTACCTGTATTGTGGGAGCAGTCTGTCCTTTTGCATTTCTAAATGTAAGTTATCCAAGAGATGGGTGGCTTCATAAACTGAGAAGAGCAACAAAGATGATTAAGACATATGAAGAACGGTTGCAGGAATTGGGTATGGCCAGTCTAGAGAAAAGAAGGACTGGGGGGGGGGGNCTTGGAGGTCATCTAGTCCAACCCCCTGCTCAGGCAGGAAACCCTATACCAGTTCAGACAAATGGCTGTCCAGTCTCTTTTTAAAAACGTCCAGTGTTGGAGCATTCACAGCTCCTGGAGGCAGGTTGTTCCACTGGTTAATTGTCCTCACTGTCAGGAAGTTTCTCCTTAGTTCTAGGTTGCTTCTCTCCTTGATTACTTTCCATCCGTTGCTTCTTGTCCTGCCTTCAGGCGCCTTGGAGAATAGCTTGACTCCCTCTTCTTTGGGGCAGCCCCTGAGATACTGGAAGACTACTATCATGTCCCCCCTCGTCCTTCTCTTCGTTAAACTAGACACCCCCAATTCCAGCAGCCGTTCCTCATATGCTTTAGCCTCCAGTCCCCTAATCATCCTTGTTGCTCTTCTCTGTACTCTTTCTAGAGTCTCATCATGGTGACCAAAACTGGATGCAGGATTCCAAGTTGTGAGTGCTCCATCACTGGAGATTTTCAAGAAAAGATCTGTCTGAAATAGCATACTAGGGTCTTCTGTTTGAGCACGGGGTTGGACTAGAAGACCTCCAAGGTCCCTTCCAGCTCTATTCTGATTGATGGATTGATTGAATAAATGAATAAACAAACAAGGAACAAATAAATGAACAAATGTGCCTTTTCGTGCCTCCTGTTGAACTGGGCCCAGAGAGGGAGAAAATAGGATGCATCTGTAAACGCAACAGATGCATCCAAAGCCAGACTTTTTTTCTTGGTGGCTTTTCTGGCCCTGCTCACCTTTAATGGATTGTCCAGGAGTGTCAAATGCTTTCTCTAGTTTCATTTTGGTGGCATTCCAGGGAAGCCGGTTCTGCTTTGGAAAACAGGATGTTGGAGCCTCCTATGCATGGCTAGTGTTGGGGCAGCCCTGGCCAAGAGGGTCTCTGTTCCTTAATTCCTAAATGTTCCCCCCATGTCCTCCCCCTCAACTTTTCTACTGATGATTTTAAGGCTGCATTCACACAATAGGCTGAGTACTCAGCTAACTATCTGTTGGGTTCATGCAATATACGAATTATTATTGTTGTTGTTTTTGTTGTTATTATTATTATTAATCACCACACCATCAGCCAGATGTTCAGACTGGATTTGGCGTTTTTGTCTACCTTACAAAGGACCTGGGGTAGGCAGATGTGGATGTTTGAATTGATGATATTGTAGATATCGTCGCAGGATGGAAGCAGTTGCAATTGATTGATGGCAAATTTGTCAATGCCGATGGTGTCCAAGTGGTGCTCCAGTTATTTTGGGATTGCACCCAAGGCGCCTATTACTATTGGTACTACCCTTGCTTGCCTTTGCCACAGTCTTTCTATTTCTATTTGTAGGTCTTTGTATTTTGTTATCTTCTCCAGTTCTTTCTCGTCTATTCTGCTGTCTCCAGGCACTGCCACGTCCACTCTCCAGACTTCTTCTTGTTCTTCTTCTTCTTCTTCTTGTTCTTCTTGTTCTTGTTCTTCTTCTTCTTCTTCTTCTTCTTCTTCTTCTTGTTCTTCTTGTTCTTCTTGTTCTTCTTCTTCTTCTTCTTCTTCTTCTTCTTCTTCTTCTTCTTCTATTACCACCACCACCACCACCACCACCACCATTATTATTATTATTATTATTATTATTATTATTATTATTATTATTATTATTATTATTATTATTATTATTTCGCTTCTATTCTGCTGTCTCCAGGCACTGCCACGTCCACTATCCAGACTTCGTCTTGTTCTTCTTGTTCTTGTTCTTGTTCTTGTTCTTGTTCTTCTTGTTCTTGTTCTTGTTCTTGTTCTTCTTGTTCTTGTTCTTGTTCTTGTTCTTGTTCTTCTTGTTCTTCTTCTTGTTCTTCTTCTTGTTCTTCTTCTTGTTCTTCTTCTTGTTCTTCTTCTTCTTCTTCTTCTTCATCACCACCACCACCACCACCACCATTATTATTATTATTATTATTATTATTATTATTATTATTATTATTATTATTATTATTATTATTATTATTATTATTATTATTATTATGGATCATCGCACAGTCAGCCAGTTGTTCGGACTGGATTTGGCATTTTGTCTACCTATTGAGTCCTTCCCAAGGACCTGGGATAGGCAGATATGGATGTTTGATGGTATTACAGATCTCGTCGCAGGATGGAAGCAGTTCCTAGTAAGGCTGCCTTTTGCAATTGACTAATAGTGAATTTGTCAATGCCGATGATGGTGTCCAAGTGGTGCTCCAGTTGTTTTGGGATTGCACCCAAGGCACCTATTAACTATTGGTACTACCCTTGCTTGCTTTTGCCACAGTCTTTCTATTTCTATTTGTAGGTCTTTGTATTTTGTGATCTTCTCCAGTTCTTTCTCATCTATTCTGCTGTCTCCAGACACTGCCACGTCCACTATACAGACATTTTTGTCTTTCTTATCGACAATTGTTAAGTCCGGGGTGTTATGTTGCAGGTGCTTGTCTGTTTGAATTCTGAAGTCCCAGAGCAGTTTAATTTTATCATTTTCTATGACTTTCTCTATTTTATGATCCCACCAGTTTTTGCTTACAGGCAAATGATATTTCTTGCGATCTTCCAATGCACCATTGTTGCTACTTTGTCATGTCGCTTATTATTATTATTATTATTATTATTATTATTATTATTATTATTACTACTACTACTACTACTACTACTACTATATCTTCAATTCATTTTTACCAGTGCCAGACTGTGAATCAAATTGAAGATTAACAACAACAACAACAACAATAATAAAGAACAAACAGCGAGAGCCAAATTAGCTGAGAAGATTGACTCAGACTTCCTACCATTTTATGGTAGCATAAATACAAAGGCCATCTCATAATTTTGAAATTCTTTGCTTTTGCCTATTTAAAAATGGATTTACAGAGGAACCAGCTTTGTGGGGAAGCTGCTCGTGCCTCAGATCTTATACGGATGTGTTCATACAACATATCTCATTTGGTCAGTTAAATGGCAATCATGTTCGTTTTTATCTTGGTTCATTTTCTGTGGCTCTGCTTGTTGGCTAGACCGGGAGTCCCCAACCTTTTGGGCACCAGGGGCCGGTTCCGTGGAGAGAGGTTTTTCTGCGGACCGCAGGGTGCATGGTTTTGTGTGCTGCCTGCATCCTGCGAATGGGGCTTTGCTTGTTTGTGCGGACCGGTTGCTAGCATGCCGTGGCCCGGTACTGGTCCACGGACCGGGGGTTGAGGACCCCTGGGCTAGACGCAGTCCATCGAACTGATTTCTGGCTTGCGCAAACCCAGAAAAGAAGTCTCTATAAGCATGTTGTGTGAATACAGGCTATGGGCCAACCATCCCTACTCACGTGTCTTCCAGTTGTGTGGGGCACCCAGCCCGAATCTCTCTGTTTCCCCTCCCTCTCAAAGGTAGGCTGCAGTCAGGCAAGGGATGCCCAGGGCAGCCCCACAGCCAGCTGGGAAGCCATTACGAGTTCTCATGAGCATCTCTCTTTCCGACAGGCCTGTGCTCCCCTCTGGTCCCAGGAATGCGGCACATCCATGTATAGCACAGGGATGTGCACCAGTGTGGACAAGGACTTCCGGCTGATGGAAAACATCGCCCCGACGGCTCAGAGTAAGTTTGGCTTTTGTTCCTTGGACTTCTAAACTGTTTAACTTTGGAAGATCCCCTCCCCCGGCTGATTCTATAGGGTCCTCCACAATGGTGGGATTCAGCCATTTGCACCACTTCGGCAGAACCGGTAGCTAATTTTTTGTTGCCCAGGCCCACAATAGACTTCTGGAAGGGGCATCCAGACAGAAAATCAGTTGTTCACTTATTTGAATCCCACCACTGGTCCTCCATGGTGTGCTATAAACCAGGGCTTTTCAACCTTTTCACCCATTGGTGAAAAGGATATGGCAACATCCGAGTACCACCAGTCGCCTAGCAAGGTGTCAAAAACGTGATGACCAGGAAAAAAAAAAGGAAAAAAGTGATAAAGTACAGGTAGTCCTTGACTTACAGCAGTTCACTTAGTGACTGTTCGAAGTTACAATGGCACTGAAAAAAGTGCCCCCCAAGCCACAGCCGAGCAAGACACCTGCCTGCCCGCCCGGTGGCACTCTTCCTCCTGTCCGAGGTTTCCATTGTTGTGAGCATTTCTGTTGAGGATTGGCAGTGGGGTGGGGGTGTTTGGTTTTTATTCCCCCCCATCTGTTGGGTGGTTGCAGCAGGTTTTGGTCACTTCACATGACCCTGGGACACTGACTGTCGTAAATATGAATCAGTTGCCAAGCATCTGAATCACAAGACCCTGGAGATGCTGCAACATTCCAGCTGATCGGCGCTTCTTCTGGGCTCAGCAGAAGCACCAGGATCAGTGCCGAGCTCCAGCTGGAGCCTGGCGCTTATCCTGGCGCTTCCGCTGAGCCCTGACAGCCCTGCAGCTCCAGCCGTCTCTCGCTCAGGCTTGTGCGGTGCTGCCACCGGTTCAGCTCATTCCCTTCCCCCACTACCACTTTTCTAGGATGGTCGCGTACCACCTGCCAGGTGCCAATGTACCACAGGTGGTACCCATACCACTGGTTGAAAAGGCCTGATATAAACCAATGGTGCTCTGTGCAGTGTGCGGACACATTCCTTGGGTGATTGTAAAGCCCAGCATAGGTCCATGCTCACTTTTTGGGTGGAGCAATTGAGGTTTTGCACAAGTTTGAGGTTTGTTTTTTTTTAATTTACAGCTACCATAGTCCTTGACTTATGACCATAGTTGAGCCCAAAATTTCTGTTGTTAGGTGAGATTTGCCCATTATGTTGCTAAGCGAGACAGTTAAGTGACTTTCACCCCATTTTACCACCTTACTTGCCACAGTTGTTAAGTGAATCACTACCGTTATTAAGTTAGCTGCATGTTAAGTGATTCTGGCTTCCCCATTGACTTTGCTTGTCAGAAGTTCTCAAAAGCTGATCAGGTGACCCCGGGACACTGTGACCGTCATAAATATGAACCAGTGGCCAAGCATCCGAATTTTGATCACGTGACCATGGGGGACGCTGCAATAATCATAAGTGTGAAAAATAATCGCAGGTCACTTTTTTCAGTGCCGTTGTAACTTTGAACGGTCACTAAATGAACTGTTGTAAGTCGAGGACTACCTGTACTCGAGTTCTAAAATCATAACCAATCTGATCACCAAATCTTAAAGTCAAAATTTCATTTTTATCGTACTTAAGCAAGAAGTCGAAAAGGGATCTCCAAGCGGAACCACCTGCCTCCACAGGTTGTAAGTGCTCCAACACTGGAAGTTTTTAAGAAGAGACTGGACAGCTATTTGTCCGAAAGGTTATAGGGTTTCTTGCCTGAGCAGGGGGTTGGATTAGATGACCTCCAAGGTCCCTTCCAACTTTACTATTATTATTGATCATCGCACAATCAGCCAGATGTTCAGACTGGATCTGGCATTTTTGTCTACCTATCGAGTCCTTACCAAAGACCTGGGATAGGCAGGTGTGGATGTTTGATGGTATTACAGATCTCGTCGCAGGATGGAAGCAGTTCCTAGTAAGGCCGCCTTTTGCAATTGACTAATGGCGAATTTGTCAATGCCGATGATGGTGTTCAAGTGGTGCTCCAGTTGTTTTGGGATTGCACCCAAGGCGCCTATTACTATTGGTACCACCCTTGCTTGCCTTTGCCACATCATCATCATCATCATCATCATTATTGCTAGATAAGCTTTTGTCTTTCATCCAAGTGACTTTCAGCCAGCCAGGCTGGTAGGTAGGACCACCCCTCCCTCAGGGTTGGCTCCAAGTTCCCTTTGCAGTCAGCCCTGGCCTCCTATGAGTCAGGCCCACCATTTGTTCCACAGGAGGGCTGACTAAGGGGCTAGAAGCACATCCTGGGGTTTTCCAAAGCCTCACGTGCCCATGACTCTCCTGGAAGTGGCCAGTTGTGGACTACATTTATCAGAAGTGCTGGGATTGTTTCCAGCGGGGTTTGCTTCCTTCCCCCCAGCAATACAAACTTGCTGTGGAAGAAACATGGAAGAGAGATCTAACAAATCAATTTTGCACCCACCAATTTAAAACAGAACATCAGGAGAGACGCTGAAAGATTTAAGCAAGAACTAATGAAGGACTACAATGCTTATCGGCCCCAACCAGCATTGTCTGGGGCTAAAGTGACTCATAATTCCCCACTTCACACAACAGCAGCACCCAGAAGGGGAAGGCTGATATAAAGGCCACATGGTATTCAATGGCCCCCTTTGGGCCCCCGTATTCCAAATTGAGTTGTCTGGATTTGAGATGGCTGCTTGGGTGTTGCACAAATCCCTCCTCAATCATGGAGGTCCAGTGGTGGGCTTTGGACCAGTCCATCTCCTTCAACCTACTTCAAGAAGTTCAGAGAACCAAACAGCATCAGGAGTATTGTGTAGGCCACCTTCAGCTTCCCAAGGAAAGGCGAGATATAAATCTAATAAATATTAAACATTGATTTCCTACGTTGGGTGATGTGCTGGGGAAGAGAGGAGGAACAGCCCAAAATGACTTAGGATTGAAAGCTTAGGGACTTCGCTGCACATACAGGTAGTCCTCAACTTACGAACCACAATTGAGACCAAAATTTATGTTGTTCAGTGAGAAATTTGTTAAGGGAGTTTTGCCCCATTTTACGGCTTTTCTTGCCACATTTGTTAAGTGAATCACTGCAGTTGTTAAATTAGTAACATGGGTGTTAAGTGAATCTGACTTCCCCATTGACTTTGCTTGTCAGAAGGTTACAAAAGGGGATCAAGTGATCCCAGGACACTGCAATCGTCACAAATGTGAGTCAGTTGTCAAGCATCCGAATGTAAATCACGTGATCATGGGGATGCTACAAAGGTCCCTAAGTGTATAAAATGGTTATGTCACTTTTTTTAATACTGTTGTAACTTCAAACTGTCACTAAATTAATTGTTGTAAGTCGAGGACTACCTGGACTCTGGGGGATCCTTCTTTGCCATTGCCTGACCTTTGCCACTGTTCTTTGACCTTTGTGCAGGATGTTCCACCTACATGGACATTGTGATTGTCCTGGATGGCTCCAACAGCATTTACCCATGGTACGAAGTGCAGAATTTTCTTAGCAACATTCTCAGCAAATTTTTCATTGACCCAGAGCAGATCCAAGTGAGTTTTGCTTGCTTTTTTCATTGTTTCTTGTGGTTCTTCTAAGGTTTAAAATCATTGGGAGCTGGAAACTGTATACTTGAATCTCTCCGGTAAAAGAGAGTCCGTCTTTGGACCTTGGAAGGTCTGTGAAATGGCTCTTCTTGTTAGGAAAAAGTTCCTAATTCGGTTATCTTTTCAGTCTCTCTTCAGAAGTTTCTGTCTTAGCTTCATGATCATCTTCCTTGCACTTCTCTGAACCTCATCCAGTTTCTTTGAATTTTTGTTCCAATTGAGAGCTTGAAAGAGCTCGGGAAAAGATATTTTCCCAACCAGCAAAACATCAGAAGTCTGGTAGCAACTTTTCTGAATAACAGATTTTATTCAACGTTATAAACTTTTATGAGCTGCAGCCCACTTCCTCAGATTTACTCTCCTCCCAAACATTATAGCCTACTGATTACAGTCTGTCTTCTAGATTGAGAATATATATTTTATCTAAATTTTAGTTCTAATTGTATCAGAAGGAGGTAGTTATCTGAAGGCTCACCAGCTAAGTAGGATTGCATCTGGTTACTCTTTAGGAGGGAGACTCCAGGAAATCCCAGGAAGATCAGGGAGTCAAAAAATATTCAGAAAGAAAGAAAGAAAGAAAGAAAGAAAGAAAGAAAGAAAGAAAGAAAGAAAGAAAGAAAGAAAGAAAGAAAGAAAGAGATAAGGAAGACAAGAGAAAAGGAAGGAAGGAAGGAAAAGAGAAGAAAGAAAGAAAGAAGAAGAGAAAGAAAAAAGAAAGACAAGGGAAAAGGAAGGAAGGAAGGAAGGAAAAGAGAAGAAAGAAAGAAAGAAAGAAAGAAAGAAAGAAAGAAAGAAAGAAAGAAAGAAAAGAAAAAAGAAAGACAAGAGAAAAGGAAGGCAGGAAGGAAAAGAGAAGAAAGAAAGAAGAGAAAGAAGAGAAAGAAAGAAAGAAGAGAAAGAAAGAAAGAAAGAAAAGACAAAAGGAAGGAAGGAAAAAAGAAGAAAGAAAGAAAAGAAAGAAAGAAAAAAGACAAGAGAAAAGGAAGGAAGGAAAAAAGAAGAAAGAAAAGAAAGAAAGAAAAAAGACAAGAGAAAAGGAAGGAAGGAAAAGAGAAGAAAGAAAGAAAGAATAGAAAGAAAGAAGGAAGGAAGGAAGGAAGGAAAGAGAAAGAAAGAAAGAAAGAAAGAAAGAAAAAAGAAAGAAAGAAAGAAAAGAAAAAAGAAAGACAAGAGAAAAGGAAGGAAGGAAAAGAGAAGAAAGAAAGAAGAGAAAGAAGAGAAAGGAAGGAAGGAAGGAGAAAGAAAGAGAAAAAGAAAGAAAGAAAGAAAAGAAAGAAAAAAGAAAGACAAGAGAAAAGGAAGGAAGGAAGGAAGGAAGGAAGGAAGGAAGGAAGGAAGGAGAAAGAAAAAGAGAGAGAGGGAGAGAGGGAGAGGGAGAGAAAGGTGAAATCCTTGATGCTCTCTATGCTTGGTTGTTTCCTTCCAAACATTTCATTCCCCAACTAGATAACGTCTTCAGTACTAGAAGGGAGAGGGAGTTGCTCTCCATTTGTAGACAGTGGCATGGCTTGCCCTGTCAGTGTTGATGGGAGTGTGGTTTTCTTCTTGGTAATTCCTCAATTGAGGTTTTGTTTACTGCTTGATTGTTGGTCTGGTATTAATCCCTGCTTATTTTTGTGTGTTGATTGCCAGTGAGGAAATGTTTTGATCTTTTTAGCATTTTCATTGCTTTCTTTTTAGCATTTTCATTATTTTCATTTCCACCCAGTTCTTCATCCCCACCATGCCTTATCATCTCTTATTACAAGCGACCTGAATTCACGCACGATTACAATATTGTTATGTCTAACTAACCCCCATCACATTCCTCCCCCTCTCCCAGTATCATCAAATTCTAAGAGTAAAGCATGAGAAAGGAAAAGCCTGCATCTCCATATGTTGTCAAAGCAAGAACATCCAATGTTAGCAGCGCTGACACTCTGGCTTAGACCAAGCTGATTTTAGGGGATCAAGGCCTAATAACCCCCCCCACACACACACACACTCCTCCAAAGACTGTATCATTGCCTCAAGGGGGTCTTCTTCCTCCTGGCCTCACAGGTGGGGGTCTTGCAGTACAGCGAAGTTGCGATTCATGAGTGGACCCTGAAGGACTACAAGACAGCCGAAGAAGTCATCGAAGCCGCCCAGAATATCAGCCGGCAGGAAGGACTTGAAACTCGGACGGCTGCTGCTATCCACAAGGCCTGGTAGGTGCTGGGAGGCGCAAGAGAAGGCAGGAATCCAGAGACTGTATAAGGCCCCCTGTGCATGAGCTAGTGGTCAAGCAGGCAGACCGCTGTCCTTGATCCAGTCAAAGCTGTGGGGGAAAAAATGGGAATCCATCAATGTGGTTATCAGGGCTGCTAGCCCTACCATTATGTTCCATGAAATAGTAGCCTTTTGGGGTGGGGTTGGGGTCAACATCAGCAGCCAGAGCAAGAGCTGGGTCTGATCTGGCCTTCTGCTTGGGGCCAACCCTGACCCAGGTTGAAGAAAGATCTCCCTGCTCATCCAGCTGACTTTTAAGCATGGAAGCTGCATTCACACAATCACCTTAACTGAATTCATTTCAAAGCTAGTGATGCATTTGCGTAATAGGCCAAGCCTGGTTGAATTTATTCCAGGGTCATTATAATTATTTTTAATGTGTGTGTTTGTAAATGCAGCCTATTTGATTAGTGTATGGAACAATTTAACAGACAAGCCCAGAAAACTAGTTAATTCAGTCACCTGGTTGTGTGTGTTGTATAAACACAAAGGGTCCACTGTAGTGATAAAAAGTCTGGTAATTTCCATTGATCTCTGTATTCCAAGCTCTTTTTCTGTTAAAACTGTATTTTATATAGTTTGGCATTAGAATTCGTACACATGTTGATGTGTATTTTTATTTGCCCAATATACAAGGCTTCCACAAGCAATTTTCCAATACAAAACGTATTTCTTCCTTCACTAATATTGACCATAGACTGTTTCATAATATATAGCCTCCCCTGTGAGGAAGATGGGCAGTTAATAAGTTTGATAAATGATAGATAGATAGATAGATAGATAGATAGATAGATAGATAGATAGATAGATAGATAGATAGATAGATAGATAGATAGATAGACAGATAGATGATAGAAGATATAATAGATAGATAGATAGATAGATAGATAGATAGATAGATGATAGAAGATATAATAGATAGATAGATAGATAGATAGATAGATAGATAGATAGAAGATATAATAGATAGATAGACAGACAGACAGTCACTCAGACAGATAGATAGAAGATAGATAGAAGATATGATAGATCACGTGAAGTATTAATACCACTTTACAATGCCTTAGTAAGGCCGCACTTGGAATACTGCATCCAGTTTTGGTCACCACGATGTAAAAAAGATGCTGAGACTCTAGAAAGAGTACAGAGAAGAGCAACAAAGATGATTAGGGGACTGGAGGCTAAAACATATAAGGAACGGTTGCTGGAATTGGGTATGTCTAGTTNCCTGACAGTTAGAACAATTAACCAATGGAACAACCTGCCTCCAGAAGTGGTGAATGCTCCAACACTGGAAGTTTTTAAGAAGAGACTGGACAGCCGTTTGTCTGAAATGGTGTAGGGTTCCTGCCTGGGCAGGGGGTTGGACTCGATGACCTCCAAGGTCCCTTCCAACTTTATTATTATTATTATTATTATTATTATAGATAGATAGATAGATAGATAGATAGATAGATAGATAGATAGATAGATAGATAGATAGATAGATAGATAGATGATAGATAGATAGATAGATAGATGATAGAAGATATAATAGATAGATAGACAGACAGACAGACAGACAGACAGATGATAGAAGATAGATAGATGATAGAAGATAGATACAGTAGATGATAGATAGATAGATAGATAGATAGATAGATAGATAGATAGATAGATAGATAGATAGATAGATAGATAGATAGATAGATAGCACTGCATTATCAAATATGGAGTACAAAGTTTTAAAATTGTGAAATCAAATGCATGTGTGAAGGCTGTTCTCTCCTGAGATATCCTCTCCTTTGCTGCAAGAAGCTTGTGCTTTGATTTATTAAGGTGGAGCAAATCACCACAAGCAGCAGAATTTTAAGGAACCAACATTGTCCAAATTTTACCAGAGGAACGTGTCCCATTTGGTAAATCAGATCTGTGGCTTTATGAGATCTAAGCTCTAACCCAGGATTAGGGCATTACTTTGTCAGGGAGAAAAACTCTTTTTCCCCCCAAAGTCACCATTTCTTTCTCGCTGTTGCCTGCAGCACGGAGGCCTTCAGTCCGGAAAGCGGGGGCAGAGCAGGGGCTACCAAGCTGATGATCGTGCTCACTGATGGAGAGTCCCACGATGGGGAAGAACTTAAAGATGCCCTGGAAGAGTGTGAGGAACGGAACGTGACACGTTACGCCATCGCGGTAAGCGTCTCAGCAGATGGAGAGACAGATACGCAGGGTGGGTGGGTGGGTGTCAACCGTCCGGCTGGCGAATTCAACATTGAGAAAACTCTATAGCAGTGGTGGCGAACTTATGGCACGCGTGCCAGAGGCGGCACTTGGAGCCCTCTCTGTGGGCACGTGTGCTGTTGCCCCAGCCCTGCCTTCTCCCACGTCCCCCTCCCCCCCAGCAGCCCCCCCAGAGGAGAGTCACCCCCGGTCACGGCCCGCATGGAGCAGTGCAGCCAAGCACATGGCAGCAGGGACAAGACTCTACCCCCGCGCCCCGTCGCATGTAGATGATGTTGCGGGGCGTGGGCAGAGGGAATGGCGCCATGACACTGCTGGGCTGCCTGGGCGATCTGCTATGGCAGGCTGTGGAGGCAGTGGGTGGTCCTGCAGGCAGGTGGGGTGGGGGTGTAGTGGGGCAGGGTGGGGGGACGGAGCGGGGGCAGGGGCGGAGTGGGCGGGGGGGCGGTTTTGGAGCACTCAGTCTCTAAAAGGTTTGCCATCACTGCTCTATAGCCTTGAGGTGCCATAAGAGATAAATCTTTATTGAATACACCTCCTGGCACTGAAGAAGTAAAACCAATTCTAGTTTTCCCCGCGCGAAAATCTGGTTAGTTAAAAACAGCTTTTCATAACCCCCACCCACCATGTATTCACATTGCCCGATCACATCTTTTCTGTCTGTTATGGGAACGGTCCACTTCTCCGTCAAACACCTGCTTTGGATGACCTTGGTTCTCATGGTCCATGGATGGCTTCGTGAAGCTCCTGTTTCTTTCCCAGGCTCCCCCTCTCCCCTGTTTCTATGGGGGGACATGATAGCAATGTTCCAATATCTCAGGGGCTGCCCCAAAGAAGAGGGAGTCAAGCTATTCTCTAAAGCGCCTGAAGGCAGGACAAGAAGCAACGGGTGGAAACTCATCAAGGAGAGAAGCAACCTAGAACTAAGGAAAAACTTCCTGACAGTTAGAACAATTAACCAGTGGAACCACCTGCCTCCAGAAGTGGTGAATGCTCCAAAACCGGAGGTTTTTAAGAAGAGACTGGACAGCCATTTGTCTGAAATGGTTGTAGGGTTCCTGCCTGAGCAGGGGGTTGGACTCGATGACCTCCAAGGTCCCTTCCTATTATTATTATTATTATTATTATTATTATTATTATTATTATTATTATTATTATTATTATTATTATTATTATCATCATCATCATCATCATTATCATCATTATCATTATCATTATTATTATTATTAACCCCCTGCTCAAGCAGGAGACCCCATATCATTTCAAACAAATGGCTCTCCAGTCTTTTCTTAAAAATCTCCAGTGATGGAGCACCCACGACTTCTGGTGGCAAGCAGTTCCACTGGTTAATTGTCCTCACTGTTAGGAAGTTTTTCCTTAATTCCAGGTTCCTTCTCTCCTGGATTAGTTTCCATCCATTGTTACCTGTCCTGTCTTCTGGCGTCCTGGTGTCTTGCCATCAGATGTCATGAAATGATGTCTCTGTTCCACCCAGGTCTTGGGCCACTACATCCGCAGGAAGAAAGACCCCAACTCGTTCATCAACGAAATTAAATACATTGCCAGCGACCCAGACGAAAAGTACTTCTTCAATGTGACGGACGAGGCAGCCCTGAATGATATTGTGGACTCTTTGGGAGATCGGATTTTCAGCCTTGAAGGTGCCGGGAAAGGAGGCGCGGTGTTTGCAACTGGATGGGGGAGGAGGAATGGAACCCATTTGTCTGAAATGGCATAAGGCAGTGGTGGCGAACCTATGGCACGCGTGCCAGACGTGGCACTCAGAGCCCTCTCTGTTGGCACACGCGCCACCATCGCCAGCAGCAGGTCCATCAGGCCGGCACCGCCACCCGGAGCAGGAGCTCTGCCCAGCACAAAGGAGGCGAAGCGGCCGACTAACAAGCTCGAGTAGAAATGGTAGAGCAGAGGTCACCAACCATTGTCGATTGGTGGACTGGAAGAAAAGGGAGGGGAAGCATTTTACATGCATGCATGCACGAGCATGCACGCACTGCAAATGGGGCGGGACTAGTGCCTGTGTGATACTCACTAACCCTGCCCCATTCTTGCGTAGTGCGCCTTTTATCTGCACCCCGAGGTGTGGCAGCGGCCGTTTTTGCACCTTGCAGCACGGTGGCCCATTTTTGTGCCCCCGGGTTTTGCGTACCAGAGGCGCCTCCATGCCCCCCCCAGGGCACCACAATGCTGATGCGGCCCTGGCACTTTGTGATAAATAAGTGGGTTTTCAGTTGCAGTTTGGGCACTCAGTCTCTAAAAGGTTCGCCATCACTGGCATAAGGTCTCCTGCCTGAGCAGGGGGTTGGACTAGAAGACCTCCAAAGTCCCTTCCAACTCTCTGATTCTGTTAAGGTAACTACTGGGCTATTCATAAGTCCAGCACAATTGTAATTCTAGTAATTCTGTAATAAAATGGCCTCCAGTAATGTGTTGATGTCAAGAAGTTGGCATTCCCACCCACCCACCCTTTTTTTTTTTGAACAGGAACTCGCGAGTATAACTCTTTTGAGCTGGAGATGTCTCAGATTGGCTTCTCCACCCACCTGCTGGAGGTAAGAGACAAATTGGGCTTCTCTCGTTTCCAGATGTGCCTTTTGGAAAAAACAGGATGAAGTTGGCAAAAAAGGGCAGGCAGAGCCTTCCACTCCGGGGGGCTGCATTTCCCTCTCCCACACAGGGGGTCTATGGCTATTCGGCACGGCCAAGTGGCTACGAGACAAGAATTACACCAATATCAAAGAAATGGTGGAATAGAATCATTGAAGAAAGGATGTTAAGAGGAAGGACAGGATGAAATGTGAATGGCAAAAATTTAAATAATTGTATTATTTGGACCGCCAGGAGTTCGATCCTGGATCCTGATCGGCTCAAGGTTGACTCAGCCTTCCATCCTTCCAAGGGGGGGAAAATGAGGACCCAGATTGTTGGGGGCAAGAGGCTGACACTTAGAGAGGGCTGTAAAGCACTACGAAGCGGTATATAAGTCTAAGTGCCATTGCTATTTATATAAACTTAAATAAAGCAAATTTATACAGCTGCCCAACTCACAAACATGCAGCTTACAGCCGTGGTGGCGAATCTATAGCACGCGTGCCACAGGTGGCACGCAGAGCCCTCTCTGGGGGCACGCGCGCCGTCACCCCAGTCCTAGGCCTTCAGCTGGGTTTTATAAAACCTTTTCGCTTTAGGCCTCCGCCGCCGTGCGCAAAAAAAAAAAAAAAAGGTTCAATCAGTCAATTTCAACTTCTCGCGGGAAAAAAAAAGATTTTGCAAAGTTGGAATTGATTGATTGAACTTTTTAGTCCCACCCAGTCTGCCGTTACCACCGCAGCCACGCCCACCCAATGGGTCACACCCACCCGGCACTCGACGATGCATAAGTGGGTTTTGGGTTGCAGTTTGGGCACTCGGTCTCTAAAAGGTTCGCCATCACTGGCAGCCTTTGGGTGGCCCTTTGCTCTAAGTATGTTGAGTGTCTGAATGGCTGTCGCTGCTTCTCTCCTGGCAGGACGGACTCCTCTTTGGGATGGTGGGAGCCTACGACTGGGATGGGGGGGTGCTCAAAGAGGGCCGGTCAGGACGAGTCACTCCCCCACGGGAAGCTTTTGCAAGAGAGTTCCCGCGCAAGCTGAATAACCACGCGGCCTATCTGGGTAAGGGAAATGGCAGAAGGTAAGGCCAAAGGCATGAGCTATTTGCAATTTGCCCAGAGGAGGTAGACTGCCCCAGCATCTGGGAGCTCCATGTCTCCATCATGCCTCACAGAGCTCAACTCCTCTGGGAATGTCTTTCAATCAATCAGAATAGGGACTTTGGAGGTCTTCTAGTCCAGCCCCCTGCTCAAGCAGGAGAACCTATACCATCTCAGACAAGAGACAGTCTAGCTTCCTCTTAAAAATCTCCAGTGGTGAAGCACCCACAACTTCTGGAGGCCAGCTGTTCCACTGGTTAATTGTCCTCACTGTTAGGAAATTTCTCCTTAGTTCCAGGTTGCTTCTCTCCTTGATTGGTTTCAATCTATTGCTTCTTCTGGTGTTTTGGAAAATAAACTGACTTATTTGTGGCAGGCTTTCAAATACTGGAATACTGCTGTCATGTCCCCCCCCCCAGTCCTTCTTTTCTCTAGACTAGCCATACCCAATTCATGCAACTGTTCATCATATTTTTTTGGTCTCCAGGACTTTAATCATCTTAGTTGCTCTTCTCTGCACTTTTTCCCAAAGCCTCAACATCATTTTTGTAGTGTGGTGACCAAAACTGGATGCAATATTCCAGGTGTATTCCAGTATTCCTTTTAAAGCCATCTGAGCTTGTAAGCACTCCTCCAGTCTAAAACGTAATAAAAAAAATTTTTGTGTTCGCACAAGTGCCTGTCGCTCCTGTAAATGGAGCTGCGCTTGCCTGCACGCTTGCCCCCCCACTTGCACGGCCCAGGTAGCGGGCCACAGCCCGTGGGTTGGGGACCCCAGACTAGAAGACCTCCAAGGTCCCTTCCAACATTATTATTCTATGTTCTGTCCATGATGAGCAGAGCCCAGGATTTCTGAACTTTGTCACTTTCTTTTCTTCTTTCCCTTTCTCAGGCTACACCGTCTCTTCAATCAGACTCAGGAGTGGGCGAAGGGTCTACCTGGCCAGCGCCCCCCGTTTCCAGCACAAGGGGAAAGTCATCTTGTTTGAGATGGATGGAGATGGCGACGTGACCATCTCTCAGGCCCTAACAGGAGACCAAGTAAGGCACTCACAAAATGTCATTCATCTCACCTTCGTAGTGGAAGCCATTTATAACAGAAGCAGGAAGGGCTAGAAGACCCCTGTGTGTGTGTGTGTGTGTGTGACCGTCCATCAGTGTTGCTGCATTAAAGGTGTGTGAGAACGTTGGGTATGTGTTTGATTTTCTGGCTGCTGATATACAGAGGCTGAAACATTGTCCCCCTGATGTTTCTGCTCATTTGATATTGTTGTTGTTGTTGTTAGTTGCGAAGTCGTGTCCGACTCATCGCGACCCCCTGGACAATGTTCCTCCAGGCCTTCCTGTCCTCTACCATCTTCTAGAGTCCATTGAAGCTCACGCCTGCTGCTTCAGGGACTCCATCCAGCCACCTCCTTCTCTGTCGTCCCCTTCTTCTCTTGCCCTCCATCTTTCCCAGCATCAGGCTCTTCTCCAGGGAGTCCTTCCTTCTCATTGTTGTTGTTGTTGTTAATTGCAAAGTCGTGTCCGACCCATCGCGACCCCATGGACAACGTTCCTCCAGGCCTTCATGTCCTCTACCATCTTCTGGAGTCCACTGAAGCTCACGCCTGCTGCTTCAGGGACTCCATCCAGCCACCTCATCCTCTGTTGTCCCCTTCTTCTATTGCCCCCCATCTTTTCCAGCATCAGGCTCTTCTCCAGGGAGTCCTTCCTTCTCATTAGGTGGCCAAAGTATTTGAGTTTCAACTTCAGGATCTGGCCTTCTAAAGAGCAGTTGGGGTTGATCACCTCTAGGACTGACCGGTTGAATCGCCTTGCAGTCCAAGGGACTCATTTGATATAGGTTCAATAAAAGAAGCAATCGTTTCCTGACACCCAATTCTCATCATCCCCTTCATTTCATAGTCCCACTTTGATAAGCAGCTCATGTAATCAGATTCAGAAGCTTGTTTTTAAGAGGACAGAACCCAAAGCTGCTTTTTCAAGAGACAACTGGACTTTCTTGTTATTCTTTGAAGATGTTTCGCTTCTCATCCAAGAAGCCTCTTCAGAGCTTCAGAGCTGAAGAAGCTTCTTGGATGAGAAGCGAAACGTCTTCAAAGAATAACAAGAAAATCCAGTTGCCTCTTGAAAAAGCAGCTTTGGGACATCCAGGAGCTGGATAGACTGAGAATCTCCATCGTCAAGAGGACAGAACATTTCCAGGTGTCCTTAATGCTTCCCTTCTCTGACAAGTATCCTTCAAATAAAATCATAATTTGAAAACGTATTGTACGTGGTGGTGCATAGAAATCCAGACTTGGGGGGGGAGACTATCCTAAAAGCAGCCAGGGAGTTTTCCGCCAGAAGCATCGGTGGAAGCGAGTGTCACCTGTACTACAAACAGGTGTGGGGAATGTAGTTGGGGTTCCCAGGAGAGAGAGGCTGCATTCCAGAGGAACAAGAGATGGTAAAGTTAAGGCAGTTTGACTGGGAGGTCATCTAGTCCAACCCCCTGCTCAGGCAGGAAACCCTATACCATGTCAGACAAATGGCTGCCCAGTTTCTTCTTAAAAACGTCCAGTGTTGGAGCATTCACCGCTTCTGGAGGCAGGTTGTTCCACTGGTTAATTGTTCTAACTGTCAGGAAGTTTCTCCTTAGTTCTAGGTTGCTTCTCTCCTTGATGAGTTTCTCTCCGTTGCTTCTTGTCCTGCCTTCAGGCGCCTTGGAAAATAGCTTGACTCCCTCTTCTTTGGGGCAGCCCCTGAGATATTGGAAGAAGGCTATCATGTGTCCCCTAGTCCTTCTTTTTTCTAATCTGGCCATACCCAATTCCAACAACTTCTTCTTCTTCTTGTGCCGTTATCGGACGTTGGCAATCATGTTGGCGATACTGTTTTTATCAGCAGCCGCATGAAAAAGTGCTGCTGAGTTTTGTCCAAACCAGCAACTGTTCTTCATATATTTTAGCCTCCAGTCCCCTAATCATCTTTGTTCAGAAGAACTTCATCGTGTCTTTCTTAGTTTGAGGAGCCTGACACAGGAGAGAGCATAATAAGATGTCCATGCAGATCTGCCTTCACAGACGTGTGAATCTTCCCAGCATTGACATGGTCTTCATTGTCTCGTGCAGATTGGATCCTACTTTGGCAGTGAGGTTTGCCCAGTGGACGTGAATGGAGATGGCATCACAGATGTCCTGCTGGTGGCTGCCCCCATGTACCTGGGCCCACAGAACAAAGAGATAGGGTGCGTTTACCTCTACAAGGTTGGGCAGGTGAGTGCCGTGGAGGGGCAGGGGTTTATCGGAGTTTGAATTGGGGGTTTTATTTCTGTAAGACAGCCAGAGTCACCGTGAGTGAGTTTGGGTAGCTGTATAATTTTTTAAAATAAATAATAAATAAAACATATGGAGAAACTGCACGCAGTCCTCAACTTACGACCACAGTTGAGCCCAAAATTTCTGTGGTTAAGTGAGACATGGGTTAAGTGAATTTTGTCCCATTTTACGACCTTATTAAGTGAATCACTGCAGTTGTGAAGTTAGGAACACGGTTATGAAGTGAATCTGGCTTCCCTCATTGACTTTGCTTGTCAGGAGGTCGCAAAACGTGATCACGTGATCTCGGGAAAGAGCGACGGTCATAACTGTGAACCAGTTGCCAAGCATCTAAAATTTTGGTCGCGTGACCCTGGGGATGCTGCAACGGTCGTGTGAAAAATGGTCAAAAGTCACGCTTTTCAGTGCCGTTGTAACTGTGAATGGTCGCTAAACGAACTGTTGTAAGTCGAGGACTACCTGTGCAAAGTGAGATTTATTTATTTTTTTTACTTTGTGGTTGTGCAGTCTCAACATCTGCCTGGCAATATGCAAGAACAGTTCTTTTCCTGATGTGAGTGGATGCCGACGACGTAAGAAAGGAATGTCTTTTTCTTTGAATAAGTGCTTCTCTCTCTCCTTCTCTTTTGAAGTCACTGCTGACTTTCAACGGGACCCTGCTCCCTGACCCAAAGCCTCAGGATGCTCGCTTTGGCTACGCCTTGCTGGCTGTGCCCGATCTTAATCACGACAGCTTTAACGATGTGGTTGTGGGTGCCCCGTTAGAAGACAACCACCAGGGGGCGGTCTACTTGTACCACGGCTATCGTACAACCGTATTGCCACGTTTCAAACAGGTGAGTGAGCGTCAGCATTACCAACTTTCAATTTCTACTTTTCCTTTGCCATGAGTCAAATAATAATAATAATAATAATAATAATAATAATAATAATAATAATAATAATAATAATAATAATAATAATAATAATAATAATAATAATAATTGTGGCAAAAGCAAGCAAAGGTAGTACCAATAGTAATAGGCACCTTGGGTGCAATCCCAAAACAACTGGAGCACCACTTGGACACCATCATCGGCATTGACAAATTCGCCATCAGTCAATTGCAAAAGGCGGCCTTACTAGGAACTGCTTCCATCCTGCGACGATATCTATAATATCATCAAACATCCACATCTGCCTATCCCAGGTCCTTGGGAAGGACTCAATAGGTAGACAATAATGCCAAATCCAGTCTGAACATCTGGCTGACTGTGCGATGATCAATAATAATAATAATAATAATAATAATAATAATAATAATAATAATAATAATAATAATAATAATAATAATAATAATAATAATAATAATAATAATAATAATAATAATAAAGTTGGAAGGGACCTTGGAGATCATCTAGTCCAACCCTCTGCTCAGGCAGGAAACCCTATACCATTTCGGACAAATGGCTGTCCAGTCTCTTCTTAAAAACCACCAGTGTTGGAGCATTCACCGCTTCTGGAGGCAGGTTGTTCCACTGATTAATTGTTCTGACTGTCATTGTTCTAACTGTCAGGAAGTCTCTCCTTAGTTCTAGGTTGCTTCTCTCCTTGATTAGTTTCCATCTGTTGCTTCTCGTCCTGCCTTCAGGCGCTTTGGAGAATAGCGTCCCAGGAGTTTCTTTTGATGCATCTGCCAACGGGACGGTTGACATATGTTTCTAAGTTTACAGAGGGGGGGCCTGCCTAGGATCCCCAGAGCCCTCAGCTTTGGAAACGCAGGCTGAAAAAGGCCAGCTATGAGTGCATAAAGCTGTTTCCCCCCCCCCCCAATAAATGGTCGCTTTCTTCCCTGGCAGCGCATCGAGTCCGCCGGCCTTCGCTGGGGCCTTCGCTATTTTGGCCGCAGCTTGGACGGACAGATCGACATGGATGGGGACGGCCTGGTGGACCTGGCTGTGGGGGCTCAGGATGCTGCAGTGGTCTTAAGGTGAGGGGCTGGAAGGAGGACCATGGAAGATGGATCCCATTCAGGGGGGCTGGTGAGTAGCAGGAAAGCTGGTGCCAGGCAGAATCTTCGCTTGGGGGAAAGGAAATAATAATAATTATGGGGAAGACTTTTCAGCAAAGTCTCAGAAATTGCCTGGAACTCAGAAGAAGCTTCTTCTCCATGGAAGCAGAGGTCAGCCACCCTTCTGGCCCAGAGGCCGAATCTCCAAATCTCTTGAAATGGGTCTATGACCTATAACTCGCCAACGGGACAAGAGTTACACTAATATCGAAGAAATCGTGGAATAGAATCATTAAAAAAGTACGTCAAAGCAGGGACGAAACAAAATGTGGATGACAAAAATTAAAATACAGGTAGTCCTCAACTTACAACAGTTCATTTAGTGGCCAAAGTTACAATGGCACTGAAAAAAGTAACTTGTGACCATTTTTCACAGGCATGACCAGGGCAGCATCCCCAGGGTCACGTGATTTATGTTGGGATGCTTGACAACTGACTCGCATTTATGACCGTTGCAGTGTCACCTTTTGCGACCTCCTGACAAGCAAAAACAATGGGGAAACTAGATTCACTGTGTTACAAATTTAAGAGCTTCAGTGATTCGCTTAACAAATGTGGCAAGAAAATTGTGGTCACAAATTGAGGACTGTCTGTCATTTTTTTAAATTATTTTAAATAATTAAATTGAATTGTTGAATTGTCCCACAGCAAGCTGGCCCTGGTGACTCGTCCCATTCAACTTGAAATCCTCACAAGGATTTTGTAAGCACATCAGAGTCTTGCAAGAGCATCAAAACTTTGGTAGATACGGCCGTCCCGCCGAATATTTCTAGTGCCTTTATTTATTTTTATTTATTAAAAGTATATGCCACCAATCTCAACGTTAAGGGTGCTTCTTATTTATTAAAATACTAGCAACCTGGCCTATAGTTCAAAGAAAAATGAAGGGCTGAGGAATTCTGGGAGTTCAAGTCCACACATCTTAAAGTGGCCAAGATTGAGGAACATGGCTATATAGAGGGCATATGGCAGTAATATAGCGTAGATTGTACCCAATTGCAATGCTTAGATTGTGAAGGGCGGTATGTCTTTGGCAGTTACAATTATATTTGTTGGCAATGAATCAGATCCAGGAGAATTGTGCAGATCAATGCGTCCATCTCGGTCAACCCTCCCACCATCAACGTGATCCAGAAAAACTGCCAGAGAAACGGGAAGGAATCTCTCTGTGTGACAGCTAACTTCTGTTTCCGTGTGACTTCGCGCTCCCTGGGTCCCCGGGACAGCCATATGAGTAAGTGCCTCACAAGCCAGAACTTCAAATGTTTCTCCTTACTGCCCAGCTTGGTGACATGACTTGAACCAAGGATGGGCAACCTTGGGGTAACAGGTCAAGAGAGTGATGAGGAAGAATGGCAGAAAAATCTGTGGTTTTTTTAAGCAACGTTTCAATTATGCAATTTCTGGACAGACTGCCGAAGGACTTAAGTAGCTATGTCTGGCCCACCAGGACCCATCGAACCTAAATAAATTCTCCTTATCGCTTGATCCTAGGTATAAAATACAACATCTCCCTGGATGACAGGAAGTTTAGCACGAGAGCGGTCTTCGATAGCAGCTCTCAAAAGCTGCTGCAGAAGAGGACTCGGGCCACCGTCGGCAGGACGGCGTGCTCAACTGCTCGCTTCCACGTCATTGTGAGTGTGGCGTGGGTTTACCTCTGGCCCATGGGACGTAGCTGGTCCAAACACCTGGTTGGGTGGCTAAAGGGCTGTGCAAAGTCAACATTCCATGTGCCTGCTGTAGCCCTCTGTCTTCAGAATGCTTCCTTTCAAATGGAAGGAATTCTTCCTTAGCTGAAGAGTCCAAATCATGAAATCGGAAAGAACTCATAGGTCGTGAGGGTGGGTGGTTCTTTCTCTCAGTTTGTGGGTTGGTTTCCGAACGTTTCTCTACCCACACTGACACCGAACAGCACCGATTCCATTGGAGCAATACAGGAATCATCGGCCAGGCTACCACTTGCCATGCCCGCGACTTTATCGAAGCCTGGCACTCCACAAGCAACTCCATCCACAGACACATCAACCTACAACCAGCCTATGAACCCCTGAGAATTCGAATCAACCTCACATCCAACCAGCGATGGCACCGACCCTCAGCCAACGCACGCAAGCCCCCCAAAATCACTTCACCTCCCAATGATCCACACCTGATGTGACTCACATCTGACCCATCACAAGACTCATCACAAGACCATCACTTGACACAACCCACACCTGACCCATCATAAGACCCTCACCTGATGTGACTTCTCCATCACAAGATCTACTGACCACAGGAAGCCCTTATGAGCAGAAGAACACCGAGAATGACATCCCCTAAACTCTGCTGAAGATGTTACCTGGCCTGGGGTAACAAAACATTCGGAAACCAACCCACAAGCTCAGAGAAGGACCCTCCACCCTCATGCTACACCCGAGCTACAGATTGTTGTTGTTAGTTGCGAAGTCGTGTCTGACCCATCGCGACCCAATGGACAACGTTCCTCCAGGCCTTCCTGTCCTCTACCACCTTCTGGAGTCCATTGAAGCTCACGCCTGCTGCTTCAGTGACTCCATCCAGCCACCTCCTTCTCTGTCGTCCCCTTCTTCTATTGCCCCCCATCTTTCCCAGCATCAGGCTCTTCTCCAGTGAGTCCTTCCTTCTCATTAGGTGGCCAAAGGGCTTGAGTTTCAACTTCAGGATCTGGCCTTCCAAAGAGCAGTCGGGGTTGATCTCCTCTAGGACTGACCGGTTGGATCACCTCGCAGTCCAGGGGACTTGCAGGAGTCTTCTCCAGCACCAGAGTTCAAAGGCCTCAATTCTTTGGCGCTCAGCCTTTCTTATGGTCCAACTTCCACAGCCATACATTGCCACTGGGAAAACCATGGCCTTGACTATATGTCGTTTTGTTTGCAGGGTGATGTCAGGGTGAGCTACAGATATTCGCCACTATTGCAAACTTAGAGGTCATTTAGTCCAACTCCCTTGGAACTTTAAGATGTATGGACTGCAACTCCCAGAAACCCCCAGCCAGCCAGCCGGTCCACACATCTGAAAACTGAATTCTAGGAGCTGAAAGTCCACACATCTTAAAGCTGCTGACACACTGGTCCAGAATGATAGAATGAGCGTGAGAAAAATCACTCCCACCATCTTGCTTGGAAAACACTTTCCGGAGAAAAACTGAACTACATTTCCACAGCCTGCGAGTATCATCCAGTTTGAAGGGGAAGGAAGCATCCTATGAATTTCAGGGCCGATGTTATTTCTCCAAAAGGTCTCAGGTCTATTTCTCCCCTACAGGACACCTCAGATTACCTCCGGCCGGTCACCATCACCATGAAGTTTGCGCTGAGTGAAAATGAGCAGCCTGGGCCTGTACTGGATGAGAAACTGCCCACCACTGTTAAGAAACTAGTAAGTGAAATAGCCATGGGATATTCACACCCATGGACGTGTGACATAAACTGCACATTCAAGAAGGGGTAGAAAAAAGGCAAATTTTAGTTACTGATGAGAAAAAACAAAACAGCAGCCTGTGAGTCTTTGTTGTTGTTGTTAGTTGCGAAGTCGTGTCCGACCCATTACGACCGCATGGACCATGTTCCTCCAGGCCTTCCTGTCCTCTACCGTCTTCTGGAGTCCATTGAAGCTCACGCCTAGGCTCACGACTCTGTCCAGCCACCTCATTCTCTGTCGCGCCTTTTTCTCTTCCCCTCCATCTTTCCCAGCATTAGGCTCTTCTCCAGTGAGTCCTTCCTTCTCATTAGGTGGCCAAAGTACTTGAGTTTCAACTTCAGTATCTGGCCTTCTAAAGAGCAGTCGGGGTTGATCTCCTCCAGGACTGACCGGTTGGATCGCCTTGCAGTCCAGGGGACTCGCAGGAGTCTTCTCCAGCACCAGAGTTCAAATGCCTCCATTCTTTGGCGCTCAGCCTTTCTTAGGGTCCAACTTTCACAGCCGTACATTGCAACTGGGGAAACCATGGCCTTGACTATACGCACTTTTGTTGGCAGGGTGATGTCTCTGCTTTTTAGTATGCTGTCTAGATTTGCCATAGCTTTCCTCCCCAGGAGCAAGCGCCTTCTAATTTCTTGGCTGCAGTCCCCATCTGCGGTGATCTTGGAGTCCAGGAAGATAAAATCTGTCACTACCTCCATTTCTTCCCCATCTATTTGCCAGGAATTGAGAGGGCTGGATGCCATGATCTTGGTTTTCTTAATGTTGAGTTTCAAGCCAACTTTTGCACTCTCCTTCTTCACCCGCATCAAGAGGCTCTTTAGTTCCTCTTCGCTTTCTGCCATTAGAGTGGTATCATCTGCATATCTTAGGTCAGTGATGGCGGACCTTTTAGAGACCGAGTGCCCAAACTGCAACCCAAAACCCACTTATGCATCATCGGGTGCCGGGTGGGTGTGGCCCATTGGCTGGGTGTGGCCAATTGGGTGGATGTGGCCCATTGGGTGGGCGTGGCTGCGGTGGTAACGGCAGACTGGGTGGGACTAAAAAGTTCAATCAATCAATTTCAACTTTGCAAGATCTTTTTTTTCCCCGCAAGAAGTTGAAATTGACTGATTGATTGAACCTTTTTTTTTTTTTGCACACGGCGGCAGAGGACTAAAGTGAAAAGGTTTTATAAAACCCAGCTGAAGGCCTAGGACTGGGACGACGGTGCGTGTGCCCACAGAGAGGGCTCTGAGTGCCGCCTCTGGCACCCGTGCCATAGGTTCGCCACCACTGTCTTAGGTTGTTGATATTTAAGAAGGGGGAGGGAGGCAAAAACTGTACAGAATCAACCCTGTTGGCTGTTTTCCAGATCCCCTTTTTCAAAGACTGTGGTGAGGATGATCAGTGTGTAACAGATCTGGTGCTACAAGCTGAGATGGATATCAGTGGATCCAGGTAGGAATCTGATCCAAAATATCTTGCAAATTAGGCAGACATTTAATGGGGAGTTTTATTTTTATTTTATTTTTTTTTAAAAGAGCTCTTGCCTGAGCAGAGATTTAAACTTGGTGGATTAAGTGGCTCTTTTCAACTCTAGGATTCTATGATTTCCCCCAACCAGGCATAACTTAAAAACCACTAACTAAAACCAAATTCAGAATATTAATGGCAAGATGTGTTCAACAACACGTCTCGGAAGTACATAGAGTTACACAGAATTTAAGCCAGGGGTAGGCAACCTTGGCTCTTTTATGACTCGTGGACTTCAATTCCCAGAATTCCTGAGCCAGCTTAGCTGGCTCAGGAATTCTGGGAGTTGAAGTCCACGAGTCATAAAAGAGCCAAGGTTGACTACCCCTGATTTAAGCTGTCGATTGGTTGTTTGTGATCGGATGTAGAAACTTTACACCCATATTAATCTTGAAGACTGAGAAAAGTAGAGACGGGCTAGAGACTAGTGAATATTTAACCCGTCTCTTTTTGCCTGCAAGCCAAAGCTGGGACCGTTGTTCTTTTTTTGCAAGTCACAAGGTTGCTATCAATTTTCCCCATTCCAGGCAGAAGCCTCACGTCATCCGCAAAGGGAAGCGGAAGATGGTGGTTGATGTCCTTCTGGAGAACAAGAAAGAGAATGCCTACAACACCACCCTCCAGATCTGGTTTTCCAGAAGTCTCCACTTCTCCAGCCTTGGGCTGAAGGTATGGTGCTCCTAACCTCTAAGCAGGTCAACGGGATGACCAGCCAAGGGGGCCCACTCTAACCTCCAAGATGGACTTTCTAAAGATGCCGGAAATGCTCCAAAATTTGTTGAAAGTAATGGCTTTGGTTATTTACATATACCAGGGGTAGGCAACCTTGGCTCTTTTATGACTCGTGGACTTCAACTCCCAGAATTCCTGAGCCAGTTTTTGGGTTCAACTATGTAGTGCCTATACTTTGTTTCCTGAATAAAATGTTCTTTGAGGAAGACTTCTTGCCTTGAAGTTCTTTTGATGGGTTTCATCTGTCAGAACCATGACAGAAATATGACCCAAAAATGTCTCCAGATGCCCGAATTTGTTTATTTCATCTCTTCTTTCTCCCGCAGGGAGAGAACCCCATGAAAATGGAGTGCTCAGTTTCGTCTGCTCAGGCCCGCCTGTGCAGTGTGGGTTACCCCGTCTTCAGGTCCATGGCGAAGGTGAGCAAACAGAGGCCTGCTAAAGAGTCTGGTGAGGTCGCTTGGAGGCTTAGCAATAAGATACACTACGACAAGATAAGATAAGATAAGATAAGATGAGATGAGATGAGATGAGATGAGAAGAGAAGAGAAGAGAAGAGAAGAGAAGAGAAGAGAAGAGAAGAGAAGAGAAGAGAAGAGAAGAGAAGAGAAGGGGATTGGAGGGTAAAGCGTATAAGGAACGGCTGCTGGAATTGGGGATGTCTAGTTTAATGAAGAGAAGGACGAGGGGGGACATGATAGCAGTCTTCCAATATCTCAGGGGCTGCCACAAAGAAGAAGGAGTCAAGCTATTTTCCAAGGCGCCTGAAGGCAGGACCAGAAGCAACTGATGGAAACTAATCAAGGAGAGAAGCAACTTAGAATTAAGGAGAAACTTCCTGACAGTGAGAACAATTAACCAGTGGAACAACCTGCCTCCAGAAGCGGTGAATGCTCCAACACTGGAAGTTTTTAAGAAGAGACTGGACAGCCATTTGTCCGAAATGGTATAGGGTTTCCTGCCTGAGCAGAGGGTTGGACTAGATGACCTTCAAGGTTCCTTCCAACTTTACTATTATTATTATTATTATTATTATTATTATTATTATTATTATTATTATTATTATTATTAAGATAAGATAAGATAAGATAAGATAAGATAAGATAAGATAAGATAAGATAAGATAAGATTTATTGTCATTTTTTTACTGTGGGCACAACGGCACACATCAAAAATGAAATTTAGTTGCCCGCTCTCAAAGTGAAACACATACATTACACACACCTTTAAAGGCTCTCCTGCCTTTTAAAACAAGCTCCTGATCCTTCATGGCTTCCATCTGAACACTTAGGGGGGACATGATAGCAGCGTTCCGATGTTTGAGGGGCTGCCACAAAGAAGAGGCAGGGGTCAACTTATTCTCCAAAGCACCTGAAGGCAGGACAAGAAACAACGGATGGAAACTAATCAAGGAGAGAAGCAACCTGGAACTAAGGAGAAACTTCCTAACAGTGAGGGCAATTAATCAGTGGAACAGCTTGCCACCAGAAGTTGTGGGCGCTCCATCACTGGAGGGTTTTAAGAAAAGACTGGACAGCCACTTGTCTGAAATGGCATAGGGTCTGCTGCTTGAGTAGGGGGTTGGACTAGATGACCTCCGAGGTCCCTTCCAGCTCAGTGATTCTGTTATTCCTTTTTCCTCACTCTCCTTCCCAGGTGGCCTTTGCCCTCGAGTTCGAATTCAGCTGCTCCTCACTTCTGAACAAAGTGCAGGTGAAGCTTACAGCCAGCAGGTGAGAACTGGGGCTGAGGAATTAAGGAAACCGATCTGCACTCAGCACTTGAGAGCAAAATGTTGGGAAGTTGCAAATAAAGAATAAAATAAATTATTCCAAAAGGGGAAACACGGGTGTAGTCCTCAACCTACAACAGTTCGTTCAGCGACCGGTCAAAGTTACAAAGGCGCTGAAAGAAGTGATTTATAACGATTTTTTCACACTTATGACCGCTGCAGTATTCCCCCATGGTCACGTGACCCAAATTCTGATGCTTGGCAACCAATTCATATGTATGACGGTTGTAGATTATGTGACGTTCTGACAAGGAAAGTCAATGGGGAAGCCAGATTCACTTAACAACGGTGTTGTTGACTTAACAACTGCAGCGAGTCACTCAACTGCTGTGGCAAGGAAGGTTGTAAAATGGGACAAGATTCACTTAACAAATGTTTCACTTAGCAGCAGATATTTTGGGCTCAGTTGTGGACGGACAGTAGTGGCCAAAATTGTGGAAACCTTTTGGGAAAAGTGTATTATTGAGGTTTGATGGCTAATAACACCAGTTCTTTTTTTTGGGAGTAGTACCATAAAATTATATATCCATGGAAAGATAATTTAATCAAGAATGTAACGCAACAAAGTTTGTTCAATTATCTGTACTGTATTCTATGAAACGTTATAGCCAAATAACCAGAAAAAAGGAAGCACAACTTGCTTAGGTGGATATCAGATAGCTTTCCTTCCTCTGATTGTAGCCAATGAGCATGAGTGTTTAGAGAGCCAATCAGGTGTCATCTTGTTTTGGCAATGAGCCAATCAGATCACGGTAGGATCCAGTGATTGATGTCATGTATTGAAGCTGAGAGGAGGACATTTGTCAGGGTGTTATGTGATCGCTATCAAGTTGGTTGGGGTTTTTTGGTGTTCTTTCATTGAGTGAGCTTGTAAAACATAATAAAATTAAAGTAACGGTGCAAAGAGTTGACTGGTCGCCCAGAAAGCGATTTAAAATAGTATTATTAAGTGAAGAAGGAAACTAATCAAGGAGAGAAACAACCTAGAACTAAGGAGAAACTTCCTGACAGTTAGAACAATTAACCAGTGGAACAACCTGCCTCCAGAAGCTGTGAATGCTCCAACACTGGCAGTTTTTAAGAAGAGACTGGATGGCCATTTGTCTGAAATGGTATAGGGTTTCCTGCCTGAGCAGGGGGTTGGACCAGATGACCCCCAAGGTCCCTTCCAACTTTATCATTATTATTATTATTATTATTATTATTATTATTATTATTATTATTATTATTATTAAGGCTACAGTTATAAAGAAATTAGAAGAAAAATGGGTGGAAAATTAACCAAAGGTGGCATTTCTACTGTACACTTTTCCCAAAAGGTTTCCACAATTTTGGCCACTACTGTAAGTCAGGGACTACCTGTGAACTATCCAGCACAGAAGAGGTAGAGAGTGGCACAAAAATTACAGGTGGAAGGGATGGCGGAAGGAGGCAGGTGTTCACAATTTCTGAAATAGAAAAGTGATGCTTTTTTCAGTGTCGTTGTACTTTTGAACAGTCACTAAACGAACAGTTGTGAGCCAAGGTCTACCTGTGTGTTCTGCCCCCCCTTCCTCCCCCCAGTTCTTCTGAACCCCATCCGAGGGAGTTCTCTGCATTTATTTTTGCCTTTCCCCACCGCTGAGTCCAGGGGGTCCATCTTGGGCCACCACAAAAAGCAGGCCAGCCCGAGTATTTGCTTCATGCAGATTGTGCCCTGCTTCAGTTTGGCAAGATTCTGTCTGCGGGTAAGGAACACAGGTAGTCCTCGACTCACAACTGTTCGTTTAGTGACCGTTCAAAAGTACAACACTGAAAAAAGTGACTTAGGACCGTTTTTCCCACTTACGACCTTTGCAGCATCCCCACCGTCACGTGATCGAAATTCAGATGCTTGGCAATTGACTCATATGTCAACGCTGCTAACATTGGATGTTTTTGCATTGACAACAGAGGGAAACGAAGCCATCTTTTACCTTTTGCTTTTAGAATTAGATGATGCTGGGAGGGGGGATGTGAACGAGAGTCCAGCCAGACATAACAACACTAAACTTAGCGTGAGAATCAAGGTTATTATAACTAGAGCTGATAAGGAATTGGCCGGGCTGGAGAACTGGAGAGGAAGCCCGCGCTTCAAGCTAATTGGGGAATGTGACTTAAGACCAGGGCTTTTTTTCAGCCGGAACGCGGCGGAACGGCGTTCCGGCACCTTTTTCCGGGCCGGCCGCACCGGAAATAGCCCCTCCCACACCGGAAATAGCCCCTCCCAAATTTTACTTGCATTCCTGTTCTCTAAAGGGGCGGTCCTAGGGTTTGATGAGGGCGTGGCCAGGTTTGAGTTCCGCCACCTTTTCTCCNCTTAAGACTGTTAAATTGAAGGAGGGAATTGTGCTTTGATACTATGTGCTCACGGGAGGGGAATTCAGTTTTTGGCTTTGATTATGCACTGCCGATGTTATGCTACTCAAAATAAAGATTCTTTAAGGTAAACAACGCCTCGAAGTTCTTTTGAAGAGTTTCATCTGTCGGAACCATGACATCATATTTATGACGGTTGCAGTGTCCCGGGGTCACGTGATCCGCTTTTGCGACCTTCTGACAAGCAACGTCAATGGGCAAGGCAGTTTCACTTAGCAACCGTGTTCCTAATTTAACAACTGCAGTGATTCACTTAACAACCGGGGCAAGAAAAGTCGTAAAACGGGGCAAAACTCTCTTCACGAAGGTTTCACTTAGCAACGGCAATTACGAACTCAGTTGTTGTGAGTCAGTTGTTGTTGTCTTTATGATGGTTGCAGAGTCCCGGGGTCACGTGACCCCCCCCCTTTTGCGACCTTCTGACGACGTCAGTAAGGAAACCAGATTCACTTTACAGCCGCGTGACTAACAATTGCAGTGACTGATTCGCTTAACAAATGTGACAAGAAAAGTTGCAAAATGGAGCAAAACTCCCTTAGCAACCATCTTGCTTAGCCACAGATCTTTTGGGCTCAGCTGCAGTCATAAGTTGAGGACTAGTTTGAATAAAGAAATCTGCTTGGAAGAATCGCAATATGTTTTGTTTTGTTTTTCGTTTTGGGAGCCTGACACTCCCGCTTGCGAGTAATTCCAGCTCTGCCACCCATACTTTGGAGGCCGCCTCCCCAACATCCACCCCCTGAACACCTGGAATTCAGCATTTGAGCCTTCTGACTGTGAAAAGCCTATTTCCCCTGTCTTGAGAAGGGCTCCCTCCAACCCATTAAAATCACTTTTCTTCTCTGCAGTGACAGCAGTGAGTTGAATCAAACGCTGGCAGACAACACAGCTCAGCCCACCGCCTTCGTCTCTTATGAGCCTGACCTCTTCCTGACCAGGTGAGTCCGTGTGTGTGTGTATGTGTGTGTGTCCCTGTTAGGGATTTGAAAGACATCCCAGGCAAGTCAGGCCTGCAGACAAATGACTACTTTATTGATTTTTATTCACCAGCCTGACTCATTATTTGTCGTGTTGTGTCCAAGAGCACACACTCTAGTCCAGGGGTAGGCAACCTTGGCTCTTTTATGACTCGTGGACTTCAACTCCCAGAATTTCTGAGCCAGCAAGTCATGAAGGGGCCAAAGTTTCCCTCATGCTGGCTCAGGAATTCTGGGAGTTGAAGTCCACGAGTCATAAAAGAGCCAAGGTTGCCTACCCCTGCTCTAGTCCATTTAGTGGCCATTCAAAGTTACAACGGCACTGAAAAAAGTGACTTATGACCGTTTCCCCACACTTACGACCTTTGGGGCATCCCCTCGATCATGTGATCAAAATTCAGATGCCTGGCAACTGACTCGGACTTATGACTGTTGCTGCGTCCCAAGGTCCTGCGATCCCCTTTTGCAACTTTTTGACAAGCAAAATCAACGGGGAAGCCGGATTCACTTAACAACCGAGTTACTAACTTATCAGCTACGGCGATTCACTTAACAACGGTGGCAAGTAAAGGTCGTAAAATGGGGCCAAACTCACTTAATAAATTTTCTCACTTAACCACAGAAACTTTGGGGCTCCATTGTGGTCATACGTTGAAGACTACTGTACCTGTAATCGTTTTGTGTTGGGGAAGCTCAGTTGGACTGTTCTGAACTTCCGACTCAAAGGATGCCTCCGATTTAGGTTTTTCTGTTTTTGCTTTCAGTGAGTCTACCCTGAACCGTTACGAAGTCCACCCTGTGGGGACTTTCCCGAGTGACATGAGCCCAGAGTTTCGGACCACCATCAAAGTAAAGATGTGGAAAAGAAGGAGCAAGATACCGGGAGGAATTGCCAACTTTGGTTTAACACTTTGGGTGGTTGGGGGCTGTGGGGGGGTTGGGGGTGCAGGACCCAGCAGGTTCTACCCCTTTCAACTCTCCAGGGCCAACTCACCACATACTAATAGCAAAGAAATAGTCGCATAGAATCATTAAAAGAAAGGATGCCAAGGGAGGGGCAAAATAAAATATGAATGAGAAAAATCAAAATAATTTTTAAATTATTTGAAATGACTAAATTGAATTGTTGCATTTTCCTGTAGTGAGTTGTCCCGCGGTGAATTGACTGTGGTTGTCCCATTCGGCCTCCATGCTGCTGACTCCAAGTGGGGATTTGAATGCTCTAAAGCAAGGCTTTTCAACCCATGGTACCACTTTTAGGATATGGCAACATCCGAGGACCACCAGTCGCCTAGCAAGGGGTCAAAAACTTGATCACCCCCCCCAAAAAAAGAAAAAAAGTGATAAAGTACAGGTAGTCCTCAACTTACAACAGTTCGCTTAGTGACTGTTCGAAGTTACAATGGCACTGAAAAAGGTGCCCCCCAAGCCACAGCCCAGCAAGACACCTGCCTGCCCGCCCGGCGGTGCTCTTCCTCCTGTCCGAGGTTTCCATTGTTGTGAGCGTTTCTGTTGAGGATTGGTAGCGGGGCTGGGGTGGGGGGGTGTTTGGTTTTTATTCCCCCCCCCCCCCCGTCTGCTGGGTGGTTGCAGCAGGTTTTGGTCACTTCACATGACCCTGGGACACTGACTGTCATAAATATGAATCAGTTGCCAAGCATCTGAATGTAAATCACAAGACCCTGGAGATGCTGCAACATTCCAGCTGATTGGCGCTTCTTCTGGGCTCAGCAGAAGCACCAGGATCAATGCTGCTTTCCAGCTGATTGGTCCTTCTTCTGGGCTCAGCAGAAGCGCCAGGATCAGTGCCAAGCTCCAGCTGGAGCCTGGCGCTGATCCTGGCACTTCCGCTGAGCCCTGACAGCCCTGCAGCTCCAGCCGTCTTTCGCTCAGGCTTGTGCGGTGCTGCCACTGGTTCAGCTCATTCCCCTCCCCTGCTACCACTTTTCTAGGATGGTCATGTACCACCTGCCAGGTGCCAATGTACCCCAGGTGGTACCTGTACCACTGGTTGAAAAGCCCTGCTCTAAAGCAGGGGTCCCCAACCGCCGGTGCGTGGATCAGTACCGGGCCACGGCATGCCAGCAACCGGTCCGCACAAACAAGCAAAGCCCCATCCGTGGGATGCAGGCAGCACACAAAACCACACACCCTCCGTTCCGTGGAAAAACCTCTCTCCACGGAACCGGTCCCTGGTGCCCCAAAGGTTGGGGACCTCTGCTCTAAAGAAGCAGTTGACCTGTTTTATTTATTTATTTGGTAGATCACCAAAAACCATTGAAAAACCTGAGCTGTGGGAGAGGGCAACCAGTTTCTCTAGCAATACAGCCCCTCCACATCAGAGGCCCTGGCCACGTGGCAAAGCTTCCAGGCCCTTCTGGAAGACCAGCAAGGATGGGCCAGTGTGACCTCAGGGTGGTGGTGGGGATGGGAGGATGCTCCACCGGGCAGGTGCTGCAGCAGAAAAGGCCCTGAGGGTGGACATTCGTTCTCCGAGCTTGTGGGTTGGTTTCCAAACGTTTTGTTACCAGGCTAGGTAACATCTTCAGCGGAGTTTAAGGGGAAAGGCTCGCTTGTTGGATCCCGCGAAATAACATTTCTTCGTATGTGGGACCTGCAGTTGTTTACGTCCCCATTTTTTAAAAATTTAAATCTTTGGTTTTCTTGTCCTTGCAGATACAAAATCTTGCCTGTTACGCTGTGACCGATCTCTCGCTCCTGATGGCGCTTCCTGCCACTGGCTATCAAGGGAGGGAATTCCTCTGGGTGACTCGCATCCTTGCTGATAATGTAAGTGTCAACGCTGCAAATACTGTATATTCTTGCTTTGACAATATGCAGAACTGTCTGGTATTTTTATAGTTAAATCAGGCAACAGGGAAAGGGGAGGAGAATATGGAAAGCCCGGGGAAAAAGAAACTGGAAGTAAATCACATCTTCCAAGTTAATTGGAATATGTGAACCATGACCTCAAAATAGGGGAGGGAAAAATGCCTGGAATGTATGTGCAACGGAAAAGAATCTCAGATCTAAGCATTTCCACCATGCCGTACTGACATCTCTGTAACCTTAATAAATGCTTTTAGGATAAAAATATGCCTGAAAGTCCTTTTAAGTGTTTCGTTAATCAGACACATGACAGTAAGTGGCTTGGCTTCACTCATGCACAAGTTCCCAGGACACAACGGCTCTCTTCCCAGAGGACCCACAACTCCTAAACCCATGTTTCTCAACCTTGCCAGCTGGAAGATGTCTGGACTTCAGCTCCCAGAATTCCCTAGCCGTGCTTTCTTTTTCTTTAGCCCTCAATTTAAAAAAAAAAAGGAGTCAGGGTCCAATCTGGCTGCTCACAACATCTTGCATTTTTGAAATAATTCTGAATTAGAAACAGTTTCCAGAAAATTATGTTGAAACATTAGAAAAATAGCCCACGCTTAACTCAGAACGGGACAACTCGTTGCAGACAACTCACCATGACTAACTCGCCGCAGGACAATTTAACAATTCGATTTAATTATTTAAAATATATAACAACCTATTTTAATTTTTGTCATTCACATTTCATTCTGTCCCTCCATTTGCATCCTTTCTTTAATGATTCTATCCCGCCATTCCTTTGATATTAGCGTAACTCTTACGTATCCCGCAGCAAGTTGTCCTACGGTGAGTTGACTGTGGTCGAATTGCCACTAAACTTTTTGGGGAAATTACAATCCAAACAGCAATTTGATGCTTTATTCTTTTAACTCTAAGATGACCTGCAGCTTGCCAAATCATACCGAGTTTGAAGCAGCTAGCAGTGTGATTCCAGTATACCCAGAAGAATTGGCACACACAGACAGAGTGGTAAGTTCACATGTTCAGCTGGCAGATGTCATCTCAGAACCATTGCACAGTATCTTTCAAAAATCCTGGAGCACTGGGGAATTACCTGAGGACTGGAAAAGAGCTGATGTGGTTCCCATCTTCAAAAAAGGGAAAAAAACATACTCAGGAAATTATAGACCAATCCGCCTAACAATACCCGGGAAGATACTGGAAAAGACAATAAAAAAACAGATCTGTGAACATCTAGAAATGAGTAAAGTAATAACTAAAAGTCAGCCTGGGTTTGTTAAAAACAGATCATGCTAAACCAATCTTATTTCATTCTTTGACAAAGTAACTAAATTAGTAGACCAGCAAAATGCTGTGGACGTAGTATATTTAGACTTCAGCAAGGCATTCGACAAAGTAAACTACAATCTACTTCTTGGTAAGCTAGAAAAAAATGGGATAGACAGCATTATCTTCAAATGGATTTGTAACTGCTGACAAACCATACTCAACGAGTAGTCCTTAATGGTACTACGTCTGCATGGAGGGAAGTAAGCAATAGGATACCACGAGGTTCCGTCTTAGGCCCAGAACTCTTCAATATCTTCATAAATGACTTAGATGAGGGAATAGAAGGGGAATTCATCAATTTGCAGATGATACTAAGATACCAGGAATAGCCATTACTTTAGATAGGCTCAAGATCCAGAGGGATCTTGACAACTTGAATGCTGGGCCCTATCTAACAAAATGAAATTCAACATAGAAAAAAGTAAAGTCTTACATTTAGGCAAACAAAACCAAAAGTACATGTACAGATTAGGTGAAACCTGGCTTAGTAGCAGTAATTGTGAGAGGGATCTTGGAGTCCTAGTGGACAATCAATTAAATACGAGCCAATAGTGTGCGGTGGCAGCCAAAAAAGCCAATGCAATTCTAGGTTGCATTAACAGGGGGATTCACATGAGGTAGTAATACCACTCTATAAAGCCGTAGTAAGACCACACCTAGAATACTGCATTCAGTTTTGGTCACCACACTATAAAAAAGATGTTGATATCCTAGAAAGAGGTCAGAGAACAGCAACAAAGATGATTATGGGACTGGAGGCTAAAACATATGAAGGCATGGCTAGTCTAGTGAAGAGAAGAAGCAGGGGTGACCTAATAGCAGTGTTCTAGTAGTTGAAGGGCTACCACAGAGAGGAGAGAGAGTCAACTTATTTTCCCAAGACAAGAAGCAACGGATGGAAACTAATCAAGGAGAGAAGCAACCTGGAATTAAGGAGAAAATCCCTAACAGTGAGAACAATTAACCAGTGGAAGGACTTGCCTCCAGAAGTTGTGGGTGATTCATCCCTGGAAGCTTTCATTGGAAGCTTTCAAGAAGACTTGTCAGAAATGGTACAGGGGCGCCTGCTTGAGCAGGGGGTTGGCCTAGATGACCTACAAAGTCCCTTCCAACTGTTATTCTGTATTCTGTATAAGAGAGTCAGTTTGGTCCAGTGGTTAAGATGCTGGTCCAAGAAACTGGGAGATCGTGAGTTGAACTGGCCCAAAACAAACCAAGATTGGGATTTAATTGTCAAATCATACCGGTAGTATGATCTTCTTACCACACTTGGAATACTGCATCCAGTTTTGGTCACCATGATACAAAAAAAAAAGGACCCCTCCTCCTCTTTGTGGCAGCCCCTCAAATGTTAGAATACTGCTACCTAGTCACACACACACACACACACAGAGAGAGAGAGAGAGAGAGAGAGAGAGAGAGAGAGAGAGAGAGAGAGAGAGAGAGTCCAGAAATTTTCTCTAGACTGGCTATATCCAGTTCCTGCAACCGTTCTTCCTATGTTATATTCCAGTGGTGTCGAACCTATGGCACGCGTACCAGAGGCGGCACTCAGAGCCCTCTCTGTGGGCACACATGCTGTTGCCCCAGCCTCGCCTCCCCCCATGACCCCCTCCTCACCAGCAGTCCCCCTGAAGGAGAGTCGCCCCCGAGCGTGGCCCACGTGGTGCAGCACAGCCAAGGACATGGCAGCCAGGCAGCATAGACAAGACTCTGCCCTCATGCCCCATTGCGCACAGTTGATGCTGCGGGGTGCGGGCAGAGGGTGTGGCTGCCATGGCGCTGCTGGGCGATCTGTGGTGGGCTCTGGAGGCGGTGAGTGGCCCTGCGGGTAGGCAGGGTGGGGGCGGAAGCAGGGCCAGTTTTGGGGCACTCAGTCTCTAAAAGGTTCGCCATCACTGTCATATTCCAAAGAAGTCATCCCAAAGAAGGCAGGATCCAACCGCTACTGCCAAGGAAACTCATGGCGAACCTCCCCATGAAATGACCTGGAGTAGAGTTCGGACCGAATCAGACTTCCCTGCCTTTCTTTCTGATTTGGTATGTTGGGGGAATCCAGCAATAACATGTTAGGTGAAGAAAACCATCCCTAAGCCAGAATCTGTTCGTTTTTCTTTGGGCCTGGCATGTTCCATGAGCCCAGAAATCACATTTTTTTCGAGGAGAGTCAGGATAAAGCCCCGGTGCTCTTCCTCCCCTGCAGAACTGCACCAACGCCGGCTGTCAAGTGGTGACTTGCCAGCTGCAGCGGCTCGAGAGGAGCTCCGAAGTGACCGTCCACTTACTCAGAGCTGTCCGGAATGAGTTCTTCCGGAAGGTGAGTGCTGCCAGTGTCTCCTGTCGCGTGTGTGTTTGAGTGTGTCTGTGTATGTGAAGCAAGGGAGGAATTTTCTATCTCACCAACTGTGTCCTGATTAGCACAGCTTGTGGTTTTCGTATGTTGGGCAAACTCAGCAAACTGAGGTGTGCCTCGCCTTAGCTAGTCGGGGTTCAGTGTATAAACTCCTGTAAGCAAAGCGCAGGGTGTTGTGTAAAGAGTCATAGCGAAAAGAAAAGAATACAGAGAAAATGGAATCGGGTAGTGTGGTCCCATGGGGGGAGAGGGGGGGGGAACAGTCTGCTGCAAGGAATGTTTCATTGGATTTTAGTTTAAGGCAGGGGTCCTCAACCCCTGGGCCAGTTTACTACCGGGCCCTGGCCTGTTTAGAACCAGGCCGTGCAAGGGGTGGGCCAGCGCGCATGGGTGCACGCTCGACTTGTGCAAGCAGTGAGCTGGCACGCACACGCACGCAAATCAATTTGTGTGAGTGGCAAGCTGGCGTGCACATACAGCTCAACTCATGTGACGAGGGGTAGGCCAGTTCCGGCCATAAAGATTGGGGACCGCTGGTTTAAGGGTTTTTATATCCTTCTTCATGTTATTGTATCATTGCATTCAATAGTTTTGAGTGCCATCGTTTTGAAATTGAGTGCACGGTCTCATTTTTTATCGCTCTTCTTGGACCATCTTGGATCAGATGCTTGTCAGTCCATGCATACATACAACCAGTTGCCAAGCACCCCACAATCCTGCGATCGTCACTTGTGACCTTCTCTGCTGACTTCCCCAAAAGGTCAATAGGCAAGCCAGCAGGAAAAGTCATGTCACTGGGGGGGGGCAAGGCTCCCCCACCCAAGGACCCTCAGCCTCAATCCTCACTGCACCTCCTGCACACCTTCCTTTGCACCCTCACATACCCTCCCCACACACACACACACACACACCCTCACCATTGTGAATCCTTTTTTAAAAAGATAAGGACGCACCCTTAATTTTGTGGAACCTTCATCACAGTTAATTTTGTGGATCTAGGCCAGTGGTGGCGAATCTATGGCACATGTGCCAGAGGCGGCACTCAGAGCCCTCTCTGATGGCACGCGTGCCAACACTGCTAGCAGCAGGCCGCCACTGCCGCCCGGAGCAGGAGCCCCGCCCAGCACAAAGGAGGCGAAGCGGCCGACTAGCAAGCTTGAATAGAGGTGGTAGAGCAGAGGTCACAAACCATTGTCAATTGGTGGACTGGAAGAAAAGGGAGGGGGAAGCATTTTACATGCATGCATGCGCGCACAGGGCCGCGAGCATGCACACGCTGCAAATGGGGCAGAGCTAGTGCCTGCGTGATACTCACTAGCCCTGCCCCGTTCTTGCGTGGTGCAGCGCCTTGTATCTGCACCCCACGGCGCGGTGGTGGCCGTTTTTGTGCCTTGCAGCACGGTGGCCCATTTTTGCACCCCTGGTTTTTCCATGCCAGAGGCGACACTCAAGAGGCGCCTCCCTGCCCCCCCCCCAGGGCACCACAATGCTGATGCGGCCCTGGCACTTTGCAATAAATAAGTGGGCTTTGGGTTGTGGTTTGGGCACTCGGTCTCTAAAAGGTTTGCCATTACTGATCTAGGCTAAGTTCAAGTCGGTGAAGATCGTCAGCAGCATCACCCTGAGCGTTCACGAAGAGAACAACCTGTTTCTCCTACCAAAAGCCGCCCACCAGCGGGAGGTAAGAGACGGGACTGACACAGGGCCTCGTGTCCACCACGTAAGCAGCCAGATCCAGATGTGGAAGGTTCAAGTTGACTACTTTATCATAGTCTTGCCTTCCCTTGGAAACAAACAGATGGTGTGTGTGTGTGTGTGTGTGTGTGTGTGTGTGTGTGTGTGTGTGTGAGGCTGCACAAGGACTCAAGGTTAACTGCCCCCCTGGTCCTTCTTTTCTCTAGACCAGCCATACCCACTTCCTGCAACCGTTCTTCATATGTTTTTCTCTCCGGGCCATCTTAGTTCTTCATTAAAGGTTAATCAAAGGTTAGTTAAAGTTTCATCGAGGATTAAAGATGGTTAATCATCTTAAATCCTCGACATACGACCGGTTGCTTACGACCATTCAAAGTTATGACAGACTCTCCTCGGGTACTTACGACCCAGATTTGAAGTTCTGATGGCTGCACGCCCCTCCCCACGTTTGTATGACTGCACTTTGGGTGCTCAGCAAAATCCTGGGGTCACAACACGTTTCGCGAGTTTTGATAGAACCCGGCCCGTAGCAAACCATTGGTTTGTGTAATGACTGCGACAAAAAGCTTGTAAAATCAGGTCAGTCAGGTGAGTGACTTATGATCATCAGGACATATGACCGTGATGAGCAGGCTCCATTATCGTCATAACTCAAGGACCATTTGTAGAAATTTTATTTTTAAAGGTTTTGTTTAGTGCAGACTAAGGCGTTTTACAGTCCACGGGTGATCCCAGTTTGGTCCATGGCATGGGGGGGCAGGGCATCATCATCAGCCCTCCATAACAGTCCCAGTTTCTCATGCAGCCCCTCGGGAAAATTAGTGGTTTAGTGTCTATTTATATAATTCCATCTTAAACCATCATTCAACCTCAGTTCAAGGACACATGGTGGTCAATATTCCATGAAATAGTTTATCCAAAAAAAATAAACTGAAAGAAATTAAAAGCCATGATGTTAACTAGCAAAATACATCTCTTTCACTGCCTTTTAATTAACTGTTAGTATTACAGGGGGTTCTCGACTTAACGATCATAATTGAGGCAAAAATTTATGTTGCTAAGCAAAACATTTGTTAAGTGAGTTTTGCCTCATTTTGCGACTTTTCTTCCCATGGTTGTTAAGTGAACCACTGCAGTTGTGAAGTGAATCAGGCTTCCCCCTTGCATGTCAGAAAGTCATGAAAGGAGATCCCCGGGACGCAGCAACCATCATAAACACGAACCAGTGGCCAAACGGCTGAATTTTGATCACGTGACCGGGGGTGGGATGCTGCAACAGTTGTTAAGTGTGAAAATCAGTCATAAGTCACTTTTTTCAGTGCCGTTGTAACTTTGAACGGTCACTACATGAACTGTTGCAAGGACTAGGCGTATTACTAAAGTGAATGAAAGGAAAAAATGATCTTCAATAAATCCATCCAAAAATTTCATTTATTTGGCCAGAGGCCACCTTGAGCTTTGTCTGGTTCTGGCACTGCATCGTAAGACGGACGTAGAGAAGGGCAGTGAAGGCATCTCCCCGAGGCCACCAGGGTGAGGACCAGTATATGTCCACCCCTGCCCTACCATAGCAATGGGAAGGTTGTGGTGTCCTTGGCAGAGTGGACCCCGTGATGCTTCCTCCAAGCTGGGGGTGATTGGTATGTTCCAGTGTTTTGTTACCAGAATATGAGATTATGCAGGACGGCCATGTTAACCTTCTAAGGCATGGGTCGGCAACCCGTGGCTCTGGAGCCGCATGTGGCTCTTTGAGCCTTCTCCTGCGGCTCCCAGCCTCCTCCGCCATTTGCAGAGACAGCGACAGAGGCACTTGCGCTTCCCCCCCCCTCTCTCTGTGTAAAAAAGAGTGGCCTCACGCTATTCTCCGACAAGCTGACAAGCTTATTGGGCGGGGCTCTTGCCTTTGCTGCGTCGAAGCAGGAAGCAGCAGAAAGCAGAAAACAGCATATCTCTCTCTCTCTCTCTCTCTCTCTCTCTCTCTCTCTCTCTCACACACACACACACACACACACACACACACACACACACACACACACTGAGTGAGGGAAGAGGACTGGCAGACCAAGGGCAGGAGAGAGCCAGCCCAATAAGAATGTATGTCAGCTTGTCGGAGAACAGTGTGAAGCCAGCTTGCCAGGTGAGCAGATGAGAGAGAGGGAGAGAGAGGGAGGGAGACAGAGAGAGAGAGAAAGAGAGAGAACTCATGCACACCAGCGTCTATTTCTTTTTAATTAAACTCTTCAATCAAGCCCTCCCCCTTGTGCGTGCGCGCGCAGGTTTTGTGGCTCCCAGTGTTTTCTTTTCTGTGGGAAACCGGTCCAAGTGTGCTCTTTGAGTGCTTAAGGTTGCCGACCCCTGTTCTAAGGCCTTCAGAATCACGGTCTTCTCAGGAGTTTGATCTCCCTGCAGGTTCTCTTGGAGATTATCCAGTCCAAACTGGTCCCTCTTTCCCTCTGGATTCTGATTGGCAGCATCCTTGGCGGCCTCCTGCTTCTAACCCTGGTCATCATCTTTTTATGGAAGGTAAGAATTGGGTGGGATCCATAAGAATATTATATTGTATTATTAATTAGTTGGTGTAAGATGGTGAGAATTCAAATAGATAAGACGTACATCCTGAACATTAGATCTTGTGATGAATTGTAATTTAGAACTTGGAAATTATAAATATTAAACATTAGATTTAAATATTAATGAAAAACTAAAAATTGGGAAAAACTAACCAGGACATTGATTGTCTAAATAAAAAGATTGAATGTTAAAACAACTAGGATATGTATAAACTAAAAAGTATTGATAAATGTAAGAAAGTTATTTTTATTTAATCGATATGAAAAGAATTGTACTAATTTAAATATGAGACAGTAAATACCAAGGGGAAAAGAGAGGAAATATTTAATGTAATAGTTTGAGATCTGTACTAAAGATATTTGTATGTTATTGAATTATTGACTAACTCAGCTGCCAGATTGCTTTTCAAATATTTAAATGTAAAACTAAAAAAAATCAACAAAGTGTTCTTAAAAAAAAAGAATTTGGTGGGATCCATGTATCTCCTGGGGATGCTTGAATTTGGATTCCTGTATTCAGTATGTGTGGGGGGGTTGACTAGATCAGGGGTCCCCAATCCCCGGTCCATGGACCAGCACCGGTCCGTAGCATGCCAAAAACCGGTCCACGCAAAGAAGCGAAGCCCCATCCGTGGGATGCAGGCAGCATGCAAAACCACGCACTCTCTGGTCCGTGGAAAAACCTTTCTCCATGGAACCAATCCCTGGTGCCCAAAAGGTTGGGGGTCACTGGACTAGATGATCTTAAAAGACCCCTCAAGTCTGTAATTGACTCTGCAAAGGCATAAATTATCCTATCTGCCTCCCAGCTAGGACAACCGTTGAAAATTATAAGGAGCATTGACAGGAGGATTGAAAGCTATTAAGTAGATCAGGATGAATTAATCATACTCGTTGCATTTACTTTAGGTTGAAATTTATTTCTTAACATTACAGATTACCGTTTTATTGAAATTAAGTCATGTCGTATCAAATTCAGTTTTCGGCTCAGCCTCTCACCTTGGGAAGCATGGTGCCAGCTCTGGCTCCCAGAAGCCCCCTCCCCCACAAGTTCTTCTGCTGAAATTGCAATTTTTGCACTGAGGAAGGGGCTGTTGTGAATACAGCGCTGTTGTGACTTTCAACACACTAAAGTGACAAATGGTTGTGCCTGTCCTCGGCTTACGGCCACAACGGCACTCCAAATTTCTCTGATTGAGACATTTGTTAAGTGAATTTTGCCCCGTTTTACAAACTTTCATGCCCCAGTTGTTAAGTGAATCACTGCAGTTGTTAAATTAGTAACACGGTTGTTAAGTGAATCCAGTTCCATTGACTGGGCTTCTCAGGTCACAAAAGGGGGATCGCCGAGACATGGCAACTGTCGTAAACGTGAGTCAATTGCCAAGCGCCTGACCCTGGGGAGGCTGCAAGGGACGCGACGTGTGAAAAACGGTCCTGAGTCACTTTTTCAGCGGCGTTGTAACTTCAGACGGTCACTAAACGAACTGTTGTTAAGTGGAGGACTACCTGTATTAATTGTGCCCTTAATTTACCACAGGTCCCTGAAAAAAGAAGAGTCTGAATTTGAGAGAATGTGGGAAATGCCTAAGAGTGGGAGTAAAAACGTTTCTTAGCAGATCATTCACGAACATTTTCCCACTTAGCTGCTCGAAAAAGGAAACAAAACACTAGGTTTAGTTGCAGTTGGATTTGGAAACTTCAGAACTGAAACTTAAGATTTTTAAACCTCCAATTCTCTGCAGTGTATAAATAACCTTTGTTTTCTGCTTCCTTCTCTCACCCCAACCTCAGATTGGATTTTTTGCGCACAAAAAGCCTGGAGAAGACGAGAAAGAGGAGTAAAACGAGTCCGGGGGAACAAAGACTCTTTGCCCAGCATCTGTGGGATAAAACCCAGAAGGGGAGCTGTGCTTTTTTTTCTGTGCCAATCACTTTTAGGACCACAGACGTTCGGGCCGGTCCGCAAGAACGGCTCCAAAATCTTAAGGCAGCATCTCTTTGCATTTTGGGAACCAGAAAGCACGGCCGTCTCTCTCCCCTTCCGTGTATTTAGATATGCGCTATCTAAATGTCTCCAAGACTGATTATTCAGGTAGATCAAAAGCCACGCTGGCCTAAAAGATTTGTGGACAGAAGAAAACAGGCCTGCGGATTTTTAAATGGGTCTCCTTTCACCGTGCAGGAAATCCCCACATGGAAATCCTTTATTCCAGATGCTTTTTAAACCCCCCCTTTCCCCAGAGGAAGATTGGGGGTTCAGTCTGGCATCTGCAATGCTGCAACACTGCACCAGAAGCCGCTGTTGGAACTGCCTGTTGCAAATCTTGCTGGACTTTTACTTCAAGAGAAAGCGGAGATAACCGTGGTTTTCGTCCCGCGCAGCTCGCCGGAGACAGCGAGCACTGAACAAGCTACGGGGATTGGGGTCTCCTTTGGCTTGGCGTGCCCATTTCCGAAACCAGGCATATTGTTAAATTGGTTTCCCCCCCCCCCCCCAAAAAGAGGCTGTTGTGTCTGTTTTTCACACAAATCTTGGGATATGGCGTCCCCCTCCTGATCACGATCCACCTGAATTTCTGAAAAATTGTTCTAATGAAAACGTGGATTTTATAAAATGGGAAAGTTGCTCTCCCTTCTTTTTTTTTTAAAAGCGTTGTGTGGAAGAGGGTTAAGCGCCAGCTGCCCGGTGTTAGCAAAAGGCAGGGTGAGCGTTCCAAAAAGTGGGTGTTCCAAATCCAGTTAACAAACTCTTGAGGGATCACGATCTTTGGCTGCCTCAAGCCAAGGCAGCACAGAACAACAGAAACGGAAGTGAAGACACCCTTCCTCTCCACAGTCATAATCAGAAGTGAAGGAGGAGTCTGTGGCTGGACTCCAACTCCCATCAACCTCAGCCAATGCAGAATAACGGGAATTGCAGTCTCCCAATGTCCAGCCAGGCCCTCCGGTTCTCAACAGCAGCCCTGGGCAACCGATGAAGCCTGCAGCCAAATGGAAGGAGGACTTGGAAGGGGTAGTTGGGCAGCTATCTCTGCCAGTTTCTCTTCATCTTTCTGGACTGGCTTGTTCTGGAGAGAAACCTCCACGGGTGCCAAGATTTGGGAAGGATTCTGGGGCCACCAAGGATCTTGCAACTTTTCCATGGTCTTAGAGGCCCTTTGGCCCCAAGCTGTGGGGCTTCTAACAGTGCTGGGCCTGGGGCTGCCAGGGTGGGCAACGCTGCCACTCCGATTCCCAGCCTCCACGAGCCAGCCTGTCCTACACGTCTCGGTTCAAATGCCCGGCCAAAAATGACCTTCACTGTCTGGTTTCTTATTAAAGACTTTATTCAATAGCAAGTTTTAGCATCAACTCCCAGGCACATTTTTACAACGGCGCCCACCACTCTTTCTTTCCTTGTAGTGTGTGTGTGTGTGTGGAAGGGGGGGAGGGAGGTGGGTTGTTGTTTTTTTAAATCTTTGTTCTCTTTGCATCCTGACCTGGCTAACTCACCTGCCCGCCCCCACCCCGCCTTTCCTCTCCACTTGAAAGTGAGACATTGATCTGGCTTTTCAGCGAGAGGTGTTTTTTTTCCCCCCCCCCAGGGCTGGTGGGGTATAAAGGAAATTCCAGACATGATCGAGAGGATTTAAAAGCCGAGGAGAAAAGAAGGGTGGTGTAAATATAGAAGTTGAAGGGAAAAAAAAATAAGGAGACGAGCCGTTCTTCCTGATACTTCAACAATTGGTATTCGCATTTTCAATATAGAGGAATACCTGGCGATGCCACTTTTGCTGTGAAAGACAAATGAGTCCGTTTGACAGCCCGGAGGAAACTGGGCCTCGCGTGGCAGGCAAGTGGATAACTCAGTTCAAGCAAAGGAATCCAGACCTGCCTCGCACAGGCTAGCATCATGTTTGCTTCCACAGAAACCTGGAGTGGGGACAGTAGGTGTGGGGGGGGGGCTTTCCTTCTCCTCCCCCCCTTCTGAACCCCAAGACATCAAATGCAAAGAAAGCCCCACCAAACAGGCCCCTCCAAACAATGCCACGCCTAAGGCACTGCAGAGAGCCACGTCCCTGCAGGCCTTCCGACTCCGGGCTCCTTCCGAGTTTTGTCTTCCCGATCCACTTCCAGGTAAGGGTGTTACGTGGACAGCCAGCCAGCAATTAGTACAGCTATCGGAGGAGAAGGTCCACACGCTTTAATGGACGCCACTCCCACCCCTGCAAGTAGCCCCTACAGACCTGGAGGTTCAAGAAATGGTTCCTCGGGGACCGCTTTTCAGAAAGGGGGAGGGCAGGCTTCGATGGGGTGTGTGTGAATGCTGCTTGGGCCCGCTTCCTCTCTTCTTGCTACTTGCTTGTGTAGTTGAGTTATCGTACAATTTACAACTGTAGTCAAGAGTGCCACAGGCTTCAGCTGCCCTTCTCTCTCCCGCCGGCCCTGGGGAGGCCTCAGAAAGTCCATCGGTCATGCAGGTGGCCTGGGCTGCTAAAGGAGTTGCTGGTGGAGGCCTCCGTGTTCGGGGCTCGCTGGGCGGAGTCCTCCCCATTCAAACTCTTCCGGCACACGGGACACGTGTCGTGCTGGCAAAGGAGGCGAAAACAAGCATGCGTGTCAGCGACAGGCGCCCCCGTGCGAATAGAATAGAATAATAGAACAGAACAGAATAACAGAATAGAACAGAATAGAATAGAATAATAGAATAGAATAGAATAACAATAGAATAAAATAGGAATAGAATAGAATGGAATGAAACAGAATAAAATAATAGAAGAATAGAATAGAATAAAACAGAATAATAGAATAGAATAACAGAATAGAATAGAATAATAGAATAAAATAGGAATGGAATGGAATGGAGTGGAATAATATAATATAATATAATAGAATAGAATAGAATAGAATAGAATAGAATAGAATAGAATAGAATAGAATAGAAAATATGGAATGGAATGGAATGGAATAGAATAGAATAACAGAATAAAATAATAGAAGAATAGAATAGAATAAAACAGAATAATAGAATAGAATAACAGAATAGAATAAAAAGAATAGAATGGAATGGAATAATAGAACAGAACAGAACAGAATAACAACAGCACTTATACTTATATACCGCTTCACAGTGCTTTACAGCCCCCTCTAAGCGGTTTACAGACTCAGCCTTTCCCCCCCAACAATCTGGGTCCTCATTTTACCAACCTCAGAAGGACGGAAGGCTGAGTCAACCTTGAGCCAGTCAGGATCGAACTGCTGGCAGTGGGCAGAGTCAGCCTGCAATACTGCATTCTTAACCACTGTGCCACAAATGCTCCGAGTGTGCCTTGCGCAGAGCACAGCCGACTGGCTCTTGAGATGGAGGATGTGACCGATCACACCACTGTTGCCATCTGCCCATTCGGAGCTCCAGAGGCGCCAAAACCAAATGCCTTCTGGAGGGAGGATGTTCTCTTCTTGTGGGCTCCTAGTGGTCCAGCTACATCTCCTGTGGTGGTGCCTGAGATTTCCTGACCTAAAGACAGGGACAACGCTCCCCCCACTCCCCACTGTCCAAGCCCAAGCAGAGACTTACCAGTTCCAGCCATGGCACAATGCAGCTGCTATGGAAATAGTGATTGCACGGGAGTTGCCGGACCTGCTCCGCCACAGTGTAGTCTTCTTTGCACACGGGACACTCCAAACCCGTATCTGCGGGAGAGGGAACGTTAGTGACAGCTGTCGCCACACGTCCGGCAACAACCACGCGGCCGGAGGGAGTTACCCCAGGCTCAGGAAAAACAGAGATCAACAGAAGAGGGGAAGGTTCCCGGTGCCGAGTCATTTCAGCGGAGGAAAGATGGCGCCAAAGGGATGCCGGGCTGCTAAGTAGCCGAAAGCCAGGTGGGTGGGAAGTGGGGAAACGATGTGGCCATGGAGTTGTAAAAGCAAAGAGAAAGAAAAGCATCCCAAAAGAAAAAGATGCGGAAAGGACAAGGATGAAAAGGTTTGGAAGGTGATGGGAGAAAAAGAGCTTGGACTGTCACTTGACTGGCAAAATTCAGCAATCAGCAATTGGGGTATTGGGTGGAAGTGATTATCTTCAAAGAAGCCTAAGCGCCAACTTCCTTTTGAAGGCAGCCTTGGAGTTGCCCTTAAGACCCCTGCCAGGAAATGACCGGGGTTTTCTATCGCATGCTGGTGGGACTGAGGGAAAGGAAGGAAGAAAAGAAAGAAAGAGAGAGAGAGAGAGAGAGAGAGAGAGAAGAAAAAGAAGGAAGGAAGGCAGGAAGGAGATGAAGAGAAGGAAGAAAGGAAAAAGAAAGAAAGAAAGGAAGGAAGGAAGGAAGGAAGGAAGGAAGGAAGGAAGGAAGGAAGGAGAGGAAGGGAAGAAAAGGAAGGAAGGAAAAAGAGAAATAAATAAGGAAGGAAGGAAGGAAGGAGATGAAGGGAAGAAAAGGAAGGAAGGAAGGGAAAAGAGAATTAAATAAATAAGGAAGGAAGATGAAGGGAAGAAAGGAAGGAAAGAAGGAAGGAAAGAAAGAAAAAGAGAAATAAATAAATAAGGAAGGAAGGAGATGAAGGGAAGAAAAGGAAGGAAGGAAGGAAGGAAGGAAGGAAGGAAGGAAGGAAGGAAGGAAGGAAGGAAGGAAGGAAGGAAGGAAGGAAGGAAGGAAGGAAGGAAGATGAAGGAAAGAAAAGGAGGGAAGGAAGGAAGGATAGGAAGGAAGATGCTGGTAGGAAAGCGATTCTCCAGGGCTGGCTGGCTGCAAGGGGAGGGATGGGGGCTGCCTGTGGCCCTGGCATCTTGGGGGGCTCGTCTATCAGGGCTCCAAACTTTTTGCCCTAAAATTCCTTCTCACTGAATGGATCCCACAATGCTTTTAACTGGCTTCTGCCTTCTCTTCCCTATAATGGATCTTTTATTCTCATTTACATAAGTTACTGTTACAGAGAGTCCTCGACTTACAGCAGTTCCTTTAGTGACCGTCCAAAGCTACGACACGCTAACAATGACTTATGACCATTTCTCAGTTATGGCCGCTGCAGCCTCCCCCTTGGTCACGTGATTAAAATTCGGACACTGGGCAACTGACTCCTATTTATGACGGCTGCAGCGTCCCAGGGTCACGCGATTCCCTTTTACGACCTTCTGGCAAGCAAAGTCAACTGCAGGGATTCGCTTAAGAACTGAGGCAAGGAAGGTCGTAAAATGGGGGCAAAACTCACTTAACAAATGTCTCACTCAAAAACTCAGTGGCGGTCATAAGTAAAGGACTACCTGTATTACTATGTGTAAACTCTGCATTTCTAGGGCCTTCTCCTTCCCCCAGCCCAGGTCCAATCTGAAAGACAAGACAAGGGCAAGCAGAATCACTGCTGCCATTTTCTTGCACAAAGGTGGAAGGCCACCACTTCCTCCATTATAATTTATTATTCCTGCCCTAAATCAGAGGACGGCTGGGGATGATGGAAGCTGAACGTCTACGTGAAAGAGCTGACTGGGGCAGCAGTTGAATTTAACTGGTAGTGAAAAGAAACAGCCGATCGATCAGAAAGTGGAAATCCTGCTGTGAAATAACTCTGAAAGCCACGTTGGAAGGGCATGATGGTGTGCAATCTCTGAACAGGCAAATTTAGAATAGAATAGAGCTGGAAGGGACCTTGGAGGTCTTCTAGTCCAACCCCCTGCTTGAGCAGAAGAACCTAGGCCAGGGGTAGGCAACCTTGGCTCTTTTATGACTCGTGGACTTCAACTCCCAGAATTCCTGAGCCAGCATGGCTCAGCTTGGAAACCTCTCCCTTTCCCCTCAGCCATGCTGGCTCAGGAATTCTGAGAGTTGAAGTCCACCAGTCACAAAAGAGCCCAGGTTGCCTACCCCCTGGACTAGACCATCTCAGACAAGTGACTGTCTAGTCTCTTCTTAAAAAACCTCCGGTGATGGGAGTGCCCACGATTTCTTCTCAAAATTCAGTTTTGAGAAGTTGCCACGGGGCAGAACGTTTACAAAAGCGGCAGAGCTCCCAGACAAAAGCTCAGTTGGACGATTTGTTTGGGAACCAGCGGGAAAAACAGGGCCGCCATGGCTGTTTTGCCGGAGCTGATGAGGTCTCCAGAAAAGCTCTTCCTTTTTACAAAAAAAGGCTCAGCCCCCCCCCTAAACTGGCTCCAGACCAGCCAAGAAAAAAAGGGGGACCAAAACAAGAACTTACTCACCCACTTGTTCCTGAGTGACGGTCACTGTAGGGAGGGAAGAAATTTTCTCCTTCTCAGCAGGGGGAGGCCCTGTATTTTCCAAGTGCCCCATAAGCTGCAAGAGGTGAGAGAGGAGGGGGGGTAACCCATGAGAAGAGGTCTTAAGGCGGAGGTGCTAACTGTTGCAAAGTTAGGTGGGAAGAATCGCAAAGGTGCTTTTTTCTCACGAGGCAACTATTTTTCTTTGAACACGTTTCCCTTCTCATCCAAGAAGCTTCTTCAGCTCTGACTGGATGGTGGAGAATGGGAGGATTTATACTCCTTGCAGACAGAGCTGGTCATTTGCATCCTTTTAGAGGGTTGTTAAAGCTACCTGGAGGTGTATCGGTGACCTCAGGGTCCCCCGAGTGGTGCAAATGGTCCTTTCAGCAGTTCCAAGAAGGCTCCACACCCATTTGGACCACTCAGGTGACCCTGAGGGCGCAGGTAAACCTCCAAGTGGCCTCAACGGCTCTCTAAAAGAATGCAAATGACCAACTGTCTGCAAGGAGTATAAATCCTTTCATTCCCCACCATCCAGTCAGAGCTGAAGAAGCTTCTTGGAGGAGAAGCGAAACATCTTCAAAGAAAAACAAACAACTGGTCATTTGCCTTCTTTTAGAGAGCCGTTGAGGCCACTTGAAGGTTTATCTGTGTCCTCAGGGTCACCTGAGTGGTGCAAATGGATGGGGAGCCTTCTTGGAATTGCTGAAAGGACTGTGTTCCACTCCCATTTTTACACTACTCAAATGACCCTGAAGATACAGATAGACCTCCAAGTGGCCTCAACGGCTTTCTAAAAGAAGGCAAATGACCAGCTGTCTGCAAGGAGTAGAAATCCTTCCCTTCCCCACCATCCATTCAGAGCTGAAGAAGCTTCTTGGAGGAGAAGCGAAACATCTTCAAAGAAAAAGTCCAGTTGCCTCCTGAAAAAGCACCTTTGGGACAACCAGGACCTGGAGGACCGAGAATCTCCATAGACCCTTAGGTGGGAAGAACCCTTCTCTGCACAAGGGGGCTGTTGGAGCGCCCCTCCCCGCCAAGCTGCATGGGAATCAGGCACTTGCTGAAAGCTTTAAAAAATACACGCAACTTCAGAAGCTTCCAGATCTTTGAATCTCAACAGTCGGTAGGGCTCTAATGCTGCAGCACATGGCTCAGAATCCTAGGAGGGCCTACGCAGCTCTTCCAGGGCGTTACCCAGATGGAGACTCTCAGCCTAGTTCTGGTTGAGCCAACGTCCCCTTGCCGTTCTTCCTGGCAACGTTAAATCCGAATGGTTTCAGTTAGCTGAAGAAGCAGAGTGGCTTGATTGTCACATGATACTAAGCCCAAATAGATGGGGTCTGTATATCATACCAAATTAGAAATAAACATTGCGGGCTGGCATCAAGTGCCAACCGGGCCACGGTTTCAGTCTCTGCTATTCACACAACATGCTTATCCAGATCATGAAGTAGTTCAGCGCCCCCCCCCTCAACCTTTGGGGCTCCGGGGATCGATTCTGTGGGGAGAGGGTTTTCCACGGACCGGAGGGCGTGTGTGTGGTTTCTTGTGCTGTCTGCATCCCGCGCCATGTGCGGATGGGGCTTCGCTTATTTGTGGGGCCCGGTTTCTGGCATGCCGTGGACCGGTGCCGGTCCGCGGACTGGGGGTTGGGGACCCCTGGACTAGTGCACAACATGCATAGCTTAGTTTCACTTCAAGTAGGTGTGTTTGATCGTGTGTGCGTGCGCATATGTGTGGCTTAGCATGTTGTGCGAACCCAGCCTTGTCTGGCTGACCTGGGGGCTCCGTCTGTCCTGTGTGCCTAGCCGGTGTCAGTCTCCTTTCAGCGCTGAGATCCAGGCTCCCTTTTGCAGAGGGGAATGGGCCAGGCCAGCTGAAGGGATGTGGACACAAGCAAAGGGAGATTGTGGAGAAGGCCCAGCACTGGCCCAGGTGTCAGGACAGGTGTGCCACATGTGTCCCTGCAGGAGGAGAAGGGCAGCCTCACCCGGGCCCTGCTGGCCAGTGCCCTTACCTGGGTCAAGACAGCATCGAGGCCGCTCTGGTCCCACGCGTAGTCCCCAAAGCTAGAGTGCAGTCTGCCTTGCACGCCTCCCCTGGAGGGAGGGAAAGAAAAAGGGCGCTCGAAGGGGGGGCCATGGGAAGAGCTGCTTTTCCTCCCTCAACTTTCAAGTCTAAAATGGTGGACAACTTCAAGCCCCCCCAAGCTGTAATTTTCTGCAACTCCTAGTCAAAAAATGACTCTAGAAGGAGAAGCTCCAGGTCTCGAAGGAAGGGGTCAGCTGCAATGGTCAGCACAATTCACCAAGGACAGGAGTAGGCCACCTTGGCTCTTTTATGACTCGTGGACTTCAACTCCCAGAATTCCTGAGCCAGCATGAGGGAAAATTTGGCCCCTTCATGACTTATGGACTTCAACTCAGAGAATTCCTGAGCCAGCATGGCTCAGCTTGGAAACCTCTCCCTTCCCCCTCAGCATGGCTGGCTCAGGAATTCTGGGAATTGAAGTCCACGAGTCATAAAAGAGCCAAGGTTACCTACCCCTGTATAGGGGAGGTGTAGGCAACCTTGGCCCTTTTATGATTTGCGGATTTCAACTCCCAGAATTCCTGAGCCAGCATGAGGGAACTATGGCCCCTTTCATGACTCGCGGACTTCAACTCCCAGAATTCCTGAGCCAGCCTGGCTCAGCGTGGAAACCTCTCCCTTTCCCCTCAGCCATGGCTGGCTCAGGAATTCTGGGAGTTGAAGTCCACGCGTCATAAAAGAGCCCAGGTTCCCCACCCCTGCCCTATATCAGGGGTCCTCAACCTGGGCAACTTTAAGACTCATGGACTTCAACTCCCAGAATTCCTCAGCCAGCATGGCTCAGCTTGGAAACCTCTCCCTTTCCCCTCAGCATGGCTGGCTCAGGAATTCTGGGAGTTGAAGTCCACGAGTCACAAAAGAGCCAAGGTTGCCTACCCCTGACCAAGGATAACTAGAATGCAGGAGAAGTGAAGTGGGGGGAGGGGTTGGCCAGTTCTAAGACCCCTCCCCACAGCCAACCCATCCTGGCCAGCTCGCCACAGTCAACTCGCCGCAGCACAAGAGTCACACTAATATTGAAGAAATAGTGGAATAGGCTCATGAAAGGAAGGAAGCCATAGGAGGGACCACACGAAACCTGAAGGACAACAATTAAAACACTTTAAAAACTATTTTAAATAATTAAATTGAACGGTCCCGCAGTGAGTTGTCCTGTGGCGAGTTGCCCCTTTTTGCAAAGCCAGGCCTGGAGCAGGACCAAAGACCCGGAGACAAAGCGGAGGGGAATTGCCTGCCTGAGATTCAAGCCGCCTTCCCTCATGAAGTTTCCAGACCTTCCTTCCCGGGGTCGGAGCTGAGGAGCAGCTTGAAAAGGTCCCCAAACAGAGTCCCAGAACAACCTCAACTTTGCCTGAATCCAAGCCCGGAGGGCCCACGCCGGTCGCCAAGAGCGGACGCCACTCACCAGGAGAAAGATGGAGGAGGCGATCCGGGCACTGCCGAATTTGCAAAAAAGCCGGCGAAGATCTGCTGTATTATTCTGCTCCGGGACGGTGATTTGCCGGGTGGGAAGAACAGAGAAAAGGTCACAGGTAAGGAAGGAGCAGCCATGTTCATGGAAGTAAGGAGGTAAGCCCATCTGCTCATGCCACAAAGACATTTTCTGACCTTGTGCGATGCAGGAAGCACCAGCTCCTTTGGCAAAGAGCACAACGGCGCACATCGATGCACAATGCTGAGCTGGCTGCCAAGAGCCCAGACAGGATCATTATGAAAGCTACGGCTAATCCTCGACTTACAACAGTTTGTCGTCACAATGACACTGAAAAAAAGGGGACTTGGGACCATTTTTCACACTTAGGACCGCTGCAGCATCCCCATGGTTACGTGATCAAAATTCGGACGCTGTCAGAATCCAAGTATATTTCAATTCTACCTACCTACTCTGAAAAAAGATCCATTTCTTATTCTTTGTGGACTCTGTCATACTACGAAAGGGGAGGAAGGAGCAAGGGGGTTTATGACTCTCACTTCCTTCATTTAAACTACAAAGGACTGGATGTGATTCTTATCAAGAGGACTGACCATAACAATATGGCCATAGCCTTTCATCTACTATCTCTCTGAAGTCTCCTTTTTGCCAGCAGTGAGGAAAAAGGGGGTGGAAATGTAACGCCTGAGATTGTCGCTGTAAGGACGGTGGGGTGGGGGCTGCTTGGGAACACTTAAAACCTTGGATGGTAGGGGTTGGTCCCTCAGATCCTGTCTAGAACGCCTGCAACCATCTTCTCTTAATAAAGATGCCTGTTGGAAGAGATATTCCAAGAGTTCTGTCTTCTTAAGATGTAAAGTGGGGTGGGTCCTTACAGACGCTTTGGCAACTGACTCGTGTTTATGACGCTGCCGGGTCCTAGGGTCACGTGACTTTCTGCCGAGCAAAGTCCACGGGGAAGCCAGATTCACTTAACAACCGGGTTTCCCAACTTAACAGCTGCAGCGCTTCACTTAACAACGCTGGCAAGAGAGGTCGCAAAATGTGGCAAAATTCACTCCACAAATGTTTCGCTTAGTGACAGAAATGTTGGGCTCGGCGGTGGTCGTTAAGGCGAGGGCTACCTGTGCCGGCTTCGAGGCTCTGCTGGTTTTGCCTCCCCTGGGTGAAACAACCACCATTCTCTTGTGCAAAAGCTGAACGGGGCTGTTGTTTTCGAGAGCTCGACTCGCTCCCGCGGTTCTTACCCTTCGATGGCCGGGGAGCGATCTGGCCGGGTGCTGAGGCGGGGCCGATACCTCCGGGCCATGGGCAGCCGGGGAGGTCGGCTTGGTCCCCAGAGGTCCGCGTGGGCCTGGTGACCCCTCTCGTTGTCTCTGCCATTGTGGTCCAGAGAGCTGCTCAGGAATGGAAAGACCATGGAGCGGTCCAGCTGGTCCCAGAACTGAGGGAGGGAGATGGAAAGTTGAGGGAAAAAAGAGAGTCAGAACCGGCTTAGAGGCACATCAAAAACTCGGCCTGAGGGAAAAGCGGGATCTTCCTTCCCAGGAACCAATTTTTATACAGGTACTCCTCGACTTACAACAGTTCAGTGACCGTTCAAAGTTACAACGGCCCTGAAAAAAGGACAGTTTTTCAGTTACGACCTTTGCAGCATCCCCACAATCATGTGATCAAAATTCAGCTACTAGGCAACTGCTTCATGTTTATGACGCTACGGTGTCCCAGGATCCCCTTTTGCGACCTTCTGACCAGCAAAGTCAATGGGGAAGCCAGATTCACTTCACAACCGGGTTACTAACTTATCAACTGAAGTGATTCACTTAACAACTGGGGGCAAGAAAGATCGTAAAATGGGGCAAAATTCCCTTAACAAATGTCTCACTTAACAACAGACATTTTTGGCTCAACTCTAGTCATAAGTTAAGGACTACCGGTACTGGTCCTTTTTGTCCCTCAACTTTGTAAGAGAGCTCCTTGTGTAGAGTCTGGAGTCTCTTGTTTTTCTTTCTCTGTGGTATTGTTTTTGTTTGGGCTTTTATTCCCTTGTTTTTCAGAGTATCCCAAGCATCCTGTACTGCTTTTCCCTCTAAGATTTCCATCCATGGAATCCTTCCTAGACACTCTCTTAGCTTATTGAAGTCGGCTCCCTTAAAGTCTATCTTTTTCTGCATTATGGTGAATTCTAGTATAACATGATCACTCTTCCCCAAACTTCCTACAGCCTCCACTCCTTCAACCATTTCATATTTATTAGTAAGAATTAAGTCCACTACAGCTGACCCTCTAGTTCTAATTCTAGTAAGAATTAAGTCCACTATAGGAATAGGAATATTCCTATATGGCCAAGAGTGATTGGACACACAAGGAATTTGTCTCCGGTGCAGAAGCTCTCAGTGTACATAGATAAAACAAAGTGATAAGTCACAGATCATAAATCATAAGATACAATTATTAATCCTAAATACCAACAAGAGGAGAAGATGAGAAGGAGAATAGTTAATACAGCTCACTACATGGGTAAATATCTTAGGCCTAAAACGGTGCTGTGGGAATTAGGTGTTCAGCAGAGTGATGACACAGAAAAAAACCACCTATCTTTATAATAATAATAATAAAGTTGGAAGGGACCTTGGAGGTCAACTAGTCCAACCCCCTGCTCAGGCAGGAAACCCTATACCATTTTAGACAAATGGCTGTCCAGTCTCTTCTTAAAAACTTCCAGTGTTGGCGCATTCACCACTTCTGGAGGCAGGTTGTTCCACTGGTTAATTGTTCTAACCATCAAGAAGTTTCTCCTTAGTTCTAGGTTGCTTCTCTCTTTGGTTAGCTTCCACCCGTTGCTCCTTGTCCTGCCTTCAGGCGCTTTGGAGAATAGCTTGACTCCCTCTTCTTTGGGGCAGCCCCTGAGATACTGGAAGACTGCTATCATGTCCCCCCTCGTCCTTCTCTTCATTAAACTAGACATACCCAATTCCAGCAGCTGTTCCTTATATGTTTGGTTGTTTTGGCATGCAATGCCCTATAACAGCGTCCAGTGGGGAGGAGTTGAAATAGATTATGTCCAGGATGTGAAGGGTCTGTAGATATTTTCTCAGCCCCCCCCCCTTTCTGACTCTTGCAGTTTACAGCTCCTCAATGGAAGGCAGGCTGGTTGCAATTGTTTTTTCTGCAGTCCTAACTATCCGCTGAAGTCTGCACCTGTCCTGTTTGGTTGCTGTGCCCAACCAGACAGTTATTGAGGTATAAATGACTGACTCAATATATTATTTCAATTTCAATTTATATGGCTGACCCTCCACCTTTGGGGAGTTATAGATGTCAGCTAGGCACATCAAGCGCTTATGCCATCTTCCACTCCCTGCAGAGATGTTCCTCAATCAATGTCAGGGTAGTTCAAGTCCCCAATCACTAGAATGGTGTGTTTCCTGCATATCTCAGTTAATTCTTCTGCAAAAAGTTCAACCTTTTCCTCAGCTTGGTTGGGTGCCCAGGAGAACAGAGGTCTCCAACCTTTTGTGCACCAGGGACCGGTTCCGTGGAGAGAGGTTTTCCTGCGGGCTGGAGGGCGCATGGTTTTGCGTGCTGCCTGCATCCCACGGATGGGGCTTTGCTTGTTTGTGCGGCCCGGTTGCTGGCATGCCACGGCCCGGTACTGGTCCACGGACTGGAGTTTGGGGACTTCTGCTGTAGAACACAGCCTTTTCCCAGCTAGCTAGTGAGCCTGGCAGCGGTTCAGTGACCACGGATGGAGCGAGAAGGCTGCCTCCAACCAATTGGACCTTACAAACCTGCTCTTGGCCAAGGAGTTTCCTGATCTTTTATTACATTACAAAAAAACGATGTTGAGACCCTAGAAAGAGTACAGAAAAGAGCAACAAAGATGATTAGGGGACTGAAGGCTAAAGCATATAAGGAACGGTTGCTGAATTGGGTATGTGTAGTTTAATGAAGAGAAGGATGAGGGGGGACATGATAGCAGTATTCCAATATCTCAGGGGCTGCCACAAAGAAGAGGCAGTCAACCCATTCTCCAAAGCACCTGAAAGGCAGGACAAGAAGCAACGGATGGAAACGAATCAAGGAGAGAAGCAAGCTGGAATTAAGGAGAAGCTCCCTAACAGTGAGGACAATTAATCAGTGGAACGGCTGGCCACCAGAAGCGCTGGGTGCCCCATCGCTGAAGGTTTTTAAGAAGAGACTAGACAGCCACTTGTCAGGAATGGTATAGGGTCTCCTGCTTGAGCAGGGGGTTGGACTAGAAGACCTCCAAGTTCCTTTCCGGCTTTATTCTGATTGATTGATCCCGACTCTAAAGCCGGAGGGACAGTAGAGTTCCATAAGGAGAAGGAAGCTGCAGTTCTGGAGCCCTTCCAAAGCCCGACGGCGTGACGGGCTACAGTGGCTCAATCAGAGTCAGAGTCAGCCTCCCCCAAGATGGGCTGGCAGGGCCAGGAGTGCCCATTATTTTTGACTGCGGTGACATTAAGCAACACGTCTGAGCCAGATGAGTTCAGATAAAAGAGGAGTCAGGGAAAGCAGTTGGCCCGAGGCCATCTGTGACGCTCGGCCCGCTGAGCTCAAGGGCTAAATTCAGAAAGAACACATTGGGAGGGGGGGCAGAATCAGCTTTATTTTTAAAAGAACTGCCTACAGATCCAAACATCTGAAATGCTCTGAGATAGAACTTCCAGGGGGATTAGCTTGAAATAATTATTTCAGTATGTTTATTCCATGGGGAGGTGGGGGGGGTACTAGAGGTGACATAAAATTCTTCCAACTGAGGCATAGGGCCACCCATTTAACCAACAAGAACTGAAATACAACATGAATGTATGAATATATATATATTTTATATAAATAAAAATGTAAATGTTCGTTTGTTCAAAATCTTAAATCTCCGAAAGTTCACCGATTGCTTTGAAATTTTGACACAACGTTGCATTCGAATACACACATTTTTATATACCTATATTATATAGATGTCACACCTGTGACAGGTAAAAACATGGGTTTTTTGAAAAACAGCGCCATCTGTTGGACGTAAAAGCAACACACGCTTTTACCAGACTGAGCCACAGCAACGCGTGGCTGGGTACAGCTAGTATATATATAATATGTAATCGATATTTATTGGTTTTATCATGGATTTACCCAAGAGTCGAATTTTTAGCTTTATAACTTGTCAATATGTAATATATACATATATATTCAGATTTCTTTTTGCTGACAAGAGTTAAAGATTTAAGTGGGAGACTAGTATAGCTATTTCAGACTCATTTATCCTCATCAGCTAGCCACACCCAAGAATCATAAAAGAGCCAAGGTTGCCTACCCCTGACCTAGGTATGAAAAAACAAAGGCACAAGTACTGATTAAGTGAAACCTGGCTCAAAAACAGTCACTGTGAGAGGGACCTTGGAGTCCTAGTGGACGATCACTTAAACATGAGCCAGCCGTGTGTGGCAGCAGCCCCAAAAGCTAATACAATCCCTGATTGTATAAACAGAGGCATAGAATCAAAATCACGTGAACTTTTAGTACCGCTTTATAAAGCCTTAGTAAGGGCACACATGGAACATTGCATCTAGTTTTGGTCACCACATTATAAAAAAGATGTTGAGACTTTGGAAAAAGTGCAGAGAAGAGCAACTAAAATAACTAAAGGCCTGGAGACTAAAATATATGAAGAACGGTTGCATGAATTGGATATGGCTAGTCTAGAGAAAAGAAGGACTAGGGGGGACATGATAGCGGTATTCCAGTATTTGAGGGGCTGCCACAAAAAGGATGGGGTCAACTATTTTCCAAAGCACTTGAAGGCAAGAAACAACGGATGGAAACTAATCAAGGAGAGAAGCAACCTGGAATTAAGGAGAAACATCCTGATAGTGAGGACAATTAACCAGTGGAACATCTTGCCTCCAGAAGCTGTGGGTGCTTCATCACTAGAAGAGACTGGACAGCCACTTGTCTGAAGTGGTTTAGAGTCTCCTGCTTGAGCAGAGGGCTGGACTAGAAGACCTCCAAGCTCCTTCCAGCTCTATTCTGATTCTGATTTGAACCAAAGTAGCTGTGTTAGCTCAGACCACCAATTAACATGCCAGTAGCATCCTCACAACACTCTAAACCCTGGTGAAGGGACTCAGCTTACTGAGTCAGCCCCATTGCCTAGGTTCTCACAACAAAGGAAGCATCAGTTGGTTTGTGCCACGCACGAAGCCCCCAACCAGCCAGCCACCTGTGTACTCCGTGGGGTCTGCAAACTCAGCCTCCAAATAGAGAGACAGCCCAGCCCGGAGACAGGCAGTCTCCATCCATGCCGGACCACTACCTCATAAAGCAGAAGAGCCAGCATAGCAAGCTTACCTCCTGTCCAAGCAGGTGTCACACCTGGCTGTTTGGTCGTCCTGCCAGTCTTGGCCACAAGCAGGTGGGAGCCCCCAGCAATGCCCTGGCTGCTTCCCCTAGTGGGAGGCAAACTGACAGCTGAAGTGGTCGGGACAGCTTTGAATCGCTTCCTTCTTCCAGCATCTGCCCACTCCTTCGAGGCAAAAGCCTGCCTCACACAACAGAAATTGCATCTCGGCATAACCCGTCACCCATCTAAATATAAAACGACTTGGATCCAATGCTATACTTGGTCTGATTTGCAATGTATTTGCAAAAAAACCACGAGTCAGCCTCTCTAGGCTTGAAGGGGCTATTAATATACTTGGCTTTTACTAGAAATCGCCCATATTTTTATACCAAATTTTTTTTTCTCTTCCGCGTTTACAGGGGTGCTGAAAAGTTGGCGGAGCCTGTGGAATAGGACCTAAGACGCGATCTGTTCTCCACGCAAGCCCCAAAACGAGACAAATAAAACCCAGTTAAACAAATAAGCCAAAAACATTATACAGGGAGCCCTCAACTTACAAGTCATAAGTTGGGATGGTCATGAAGGAGATCACTGTTTACAATTTGTTTCGCAACGGTGACCTCTGTAATCATTAAGCCAACTCATTCTTGGCTACAGCCAGCTTTTTGCTGGGAAACCAGAAGTAAACACTGGTTTCTGGAAAAATCATTGTAAATCATGGCCATGTGACCGGGGGGGGGGGCGCAAAAAGCTATAAATGTGGACCAGTTCCCGAGCACCCACTCTCGGGCACTGACACTAAAACTTCAAAACAGGATGTAAGTCCCTTTGGTGTGTGTGTGTGTGTGGGGGTCTATCATAACTTTTAACGTTCACAAAGCAACCAATTTGTCAAGAGTGATTCACTTTCCACCTAGTTTCCTCCTCTCCGATCTCAACTTGGGGGGGGTGAATTGTATGGGGTGGGAATGGAAAGCCAAGACACCATCTGCAGATCGTGAGACCCTGCTCCACCCTTCAAGGCCGCGCTGCGCAGGTGTTTGAATGGTCCAGACCAGGGGTAGGCAACCTTGGCTCTTTTATGACTGGTGGACTTCAACTCCCAGAATTCCTGAGCCACCATGGCTCAGCTTGGAAACCTCTCCCTTTCCCCTCAGCGTGGCTGGCTCAGGAATTCTGGGAGTTGAAGTCCACAAGTCATAAAAGAGCCAAGGTTGCCTACCCCTGGTCTAGGAGGCTCACCGCTTAGAACAGGAGGACTTAGGACAGGGGTAGGCAACCTTGGTTCTTTTATGACTCGTGAAATTCAACTCCCAGAATTCCTGAGCCAGCTTGGCTCAGCTTGGCAACCTCTCCCTTTTCCCTCAGCATGGCTGGCTCAGGAATTCTGGGAGTTGAAGTCCACCAGTCATAAAAGAGCCAAGGTTGCCTACCCCTGCGCTGGATGGACATCTGACACGGTTATAAGTTGAGCATTATCTGTACTTGTTCATTGATTTATTGAGGAAAGTGATCCGAAGCGTTTATCTATTCTAAAGCATCACATCGAGGTTTACACTTCCTCAAACAACCGAGGGCTTGTTTTCACACCCGTGTCTTTTTCAAACTAGGGGGGTCTCCCTAAAACTGACCTCAAACCTACCAAAGAGCCATATCTCAAACCAGACCAAAGTCGTTCAGGGGTGAGAATGGACAAGGAAGGACCCCTTCCCAACACAGCCGTAGAAAGCTGAAAAATAAAATTAAAAAAACAAAACGGGGAAACTCACCTCTGCGAATGGGGTGGAAGGACTTTCATCGGTGCCGCTGCTGTTGCCTTCTAAAAAACTAAAGAGAGAAAAAAACAGGTTGTGGGAAAACGCCAGGGCTTCTAGAACAAGGACTTCCCAACCTTGGCAACTTTGAGATAGGTGGACTTCAATTCCCAGAAATCCCCACCTTTCTGCTTACTAACATATCAGGGATCAACCTTATAGGGGTCTACGACACCTCGCCACGGCCGACTCGCCGCGGGACGAGAATCACACTAATAGCAAAAAAATAGTGGAACGGAATCATTAAAGAAAGGATTGCAAAAGAGGGACAAAATGAAATGTGAAGGACAGCAATTAAAACATTTTTAACTAGTTTAAATAATTAAACTGAATTGTTGAATCGTCCCTCAGTGAATGTCTGTGGAGATTCTCGGTCATCCAGTTCCTGGTTGTTCCAAAGGTGTTTTTTTTTTTTTTCAGGATGCAACTGGAATTTCTTGTTCTTTCTTTGAAGACGTTTCGCTTCTCATCCAAGAAGCTTCTTCAGCTCTGACTGAATGATGGGGGAATGGAAGGATTTATATGCCTTGCAGACCGCTGGTCATTTGCATTCTTTTAGAGAGTCGTTGAGGCCACTTGGAGATTTACCTGTGTGCTTAGGGTCACTTGAGTACTGCAAATGGGTGTGGAACACAGTCCTTTCAGCAGTTGCAAGAAGGCTCCACACCCATTTGCAGTACTTAGGTGATCCTGAGGACACAGATAAACCCCAAGTGGCCTCAACGACCTTCTAAAAGGCAAATGACCAGCTGTCTGCAAGGAGTATAAATCCTTCCGTTCCGCACCATCCCGTCAGAGCTGAAGAAGCTTCTTGGATGAGAAGCGAAACGTCTTCAAAGAAAAACAAACAACTGGTCATTTGCCTTCTTTTAGGGAGCCGTTGAGGCCACTTGAAGGTTTATCTGTGTCCTCAGGGTCACCTGAGTGGTTCAAATGGATAGGGAACCTTCTTGGAATTGCTGAAAGGACTGTGTTCCACTCCCGTTTTTTGCACCACTCAGATGACCCTGAGGACACAGATAAACCTCCAAGTGGCCTCAACGACTCTCTAAAAAGAATGCAAATGACCAGCTGTCTGCAAGGAGTATAAATCCTTCCATTCCCCACTGTCCAGTCAGAGCTGAAGAAGCTTCTTGGAAGAGAAACGAAACGTCTTCAAAGAAAAACAAGAAAGTCCACTTGCCTCATGAAAAAGCAGCTTTGGGTGTCCCTCGGCGAGTTGTCCTGTAGCAAGTTGTCCATGGCGAGTTGTCCCATTCCAACCTAACAAGGGGTCCCTCCCCCAACCCAAAAGGAAAATTTCCTGGAAGATCCATATGGGGCAAGAGGAACCCCAGAAGCCTCACCCTGGGTCTTTGTCTTTAAGGAAGACCCTAACAGGATGTTTTGTCCTGTATCGAAACACGCAACAGAGGCACCAAGCAGAGCCCAGAATGTGGCTTTTTTGGGGGGGGGGGCTCCTGAAAAGGGGAAACAAGTGGCCACGAGAGGGTTTTTCTCCTGGCCAGGACAGTTTTCTAAAGCTTTCTGAACAATCTTTCTTTGAAAGGGCCTGCTTAACAGAAACGACAGGTACCTGGAGTCATCTGTTACTTCTTCAATAAAGCCAGATTCACATCGGGGACACGTGTATTCCTGCCAAGGAAGAAAAAAAAAACGGATCCGTAAGATTTCCGCCAAAAATAAACACGGGTCATCCATCCCACTTAGTTTTAATTAGCAAAGAGAGACTGCTGGTTCATTCCCCCCCCTTAAGAGTATACTTTATTGAGAACAAAGCAGTCACAGATTAGAGCAGGGGTAGTCAACCTTGGCTCTTTTATGACTCGTGGACTTCAATTCCCAGAATTCCTGTTAGCTGGCTCAGGAATTCTGGGAGTTGAAGTCCACGAGTCATAAAAGAGCCAAGGTTGCCTACCCCTGGATTAGAGCAAGGCAGAATCTGTTGTCTTGGCGGGAAAATGATGCAATTAACTTTCCTTTTTCCCCTGGCCATCCCACTGTGCTCAGTCAATGTCCAATTTAAAGTTCCCAGGTTGTTTTGGAAACGGGCCCTGTGGTCGTGCCTTTCCCGTCTCCCCCCATTCCTTTTGCTGACCTTGTGCTGGATTGGTGACCCCCATGGGTGGAAAAGCGGCCGATACTAGGTCCGGCTTCCTTGCTCCCAATTTGAATATACTGAACTAAAGTTACTGTTAAATGCTGGCGTAATAGCCGACAAATTCAAAAGTTAATGTCGTGGTTCTGACAGATGAAACTCTTCAAAAGAACGTCGAGGCATTGTTTACCTTAAAGAATCTTTTATCCAAGTAGCATAATATCAGCACTTCATAATCGAAGCCAAAAACTGAATTCCCCTCCCCTGGGCACATAGTATCAAAGCACAATTCCCTCCTCCAATTAACAGCCATAAAACACATTCCCCAATTAGCTTGAAGCCCACGGGCTTCCTCTCCAGTTCTCTAGCCCGCCAATTCTTTATCAGCTCTGGGCTCAATAACCTTGATTCTCACGCTAAGTTTAGTGTTGTTATATCTAGCTAGACTTTCAGCTCCCCCCCCCCAGCATCATCTAACTCTAAAAGCAAAAGGGGAAAAGATGGCTACATTTTCATCTGTTGTCAATGCAAGACATCCGATGTTAGCAGCGTTGACAGTTACCAGGTTGGGAGAGGCTGACCGTCCCGCCAAAAGCCAGCAAGGGGCAGATGACAATTTGTTAATCAACTTGTTCTCTGGATGGGAAAACCTCTGTGCCAGCCATCTCACATTCCCACATGACGGGCAGTCCTCGACTTACAACAGTTCATTTAGCGACTGTTCAAAGTTACAATGGCACTGAAAAAAGGGACTTAGGACCGCTTTGCACACTTACGACGGTTGCAGCGTCCCCAGGGTCACGTGATCAAAATTCAGACGATTGGCAACGGACTCATAGTTATGACGGTCGCAGTGTCCCGGGGTCAGGGGGAAGCCAGATTCACTTAACAACCGCGTTACTAATTTAACAGCTGTAGTGGTTCACTTAACTGTGACACGAAAGGGCAAAATTCGCTTAACAAATGTCTCACTTAGCAACATAAATTTTGGGCTCAATTATGGTCATAAGTCCAGAACTACCTGAATTTTTTTTTTAAAAAAAAAACTGTCTAAAAAGAAGTATCTGGGAAGGCAGATTTGAGGAAACAAGGGAGGGAAAAAGGCAAAAATACAAAACAAAACCCAAAACCCATTATTTTCCTAGGAAGCTGTCTTTACAACAATAACTACCTCTGAGACCCCAAAGAGAGCTGCACTTGGAACAAAGCAAAACTCAAATGCTTTAAACAATATTTGTGTATTGCACAGCAACTTTCACAATTATCTGTAGTACAAAAAAGGCCCCCGAGAGAGCAGGAGGTGTATAATTGAAAGGGAACTGCTTTCCGACACATAAACCATCCACCAAAAAGGGCAGAGTTGAACATTATCCATTATCGTTGCTTTATTTTTCCCTTAACTTAGCAAAAGCACTGTAGAGCTGTAGGACACCCAATGCCAAAATGATCCAAAATCAAGCTCAGGTTTTATTTGAAGGCCTGGTGGCACAGAAAACAGGTCAAAAAGGCAGGATATAAGCTGAATAAAGGAATAACATTCTCTGGAGTTCGGCTAACTGGGGGGAAAAAAAAATCTCAGCTGACACAATCATTCCACATATATCTTGCAATGAGCAGTGATTTAAACGGCGAGGGAAGAGTCTGAAAATTGACTGGAGCAATTTTCCCGTCGTGATTTCTCAGAAATCCCAGGCACACCCACATCTGTGCTCTTAAGAGCTGACACCAGGAACAAAGCCACGGCTGTGCCCGCTGAGGCAGGCCAGAGGTTGGTTTACAAGCCTGCTTCCAAAGGCTCAGAATCGGCACCTTTCATGGCCTGGAGGGCCCAAGCCCAATTTCCACCCAGGATTCAAAGAAGCCACCGCTTCCTCTGTCGGGCTAGATCTGTTCCAGACATCTGGAAAATGGTGTTTCAACACACCCACACACACACACACCACACACACACCCAATGTTCTCGCTGTGGGAGAGCCCAAATGGGACAACTCGCCACGGTCACCTCGCCATAGGACAACTCCTGGCGGGACAATTCAACAATTCAGTTTAATCATTTAAAATAGCTAAAAATTATTTTAACTTTTGTCATTCACATTTCATTTAGTCCCTCCTTTGGCATCTATTTCACTATTTCTTCGATAGCGGTGTAGCGCGTTCCCGCAGCGAATTGTCCCGTGGCGAGGGGGCCGGCACCACCCCTCAACAACTGTCCCAAAACTGCTGCTGGCATGGCACTCTCCAGTTGTTGCCCTCACAAACCATAGCAGCTGGGCTGCAGGAGAGTATGAGGTAAGAGAAGGTGGAGAGAGAAAGAGAAAGAAAGAAAAAAAGAGAAAGAGAAAGAAAAAAAGAAAGAAAGAGACACCCATAAAGAGAAAATCTCTCTCTTATTAGGCTTTTTCTCTTCTTGGGAATTGGCAGAGCTTTTTGCCAGAGGGCAGCCAAAGCCAAAATTGCCCCCGAGGCTCAGACCCTTCACCTGGAAGGGAGAGGCGGTTTTGTAGCAGGCCAGTTACGGACCTGCCAGTTGCAAATCATAGAATCACAGAATTCTTTATTGGACAAATGTGACTGGACACACAAGGAATTTGTCTCCGGTGCATAAGCTCACAGTGTACATATAAACAGCAAGTAATAGGTCATAGAATAGATCATAATAAAACAACAATTGATAAATCATAAGGAACCAATAGGAGAAGTTAGCAGGAAAGATGAGAGGATGAGAAAAGATGAGAAGTGAGACAGAGCGATGGGAATTCAGCGTTCAGCGGAGTGATGGCACAGGAAAAAAATATATTTGTTTCTCGTAATTTTGGCATGCAATGCCCTATAGCGTCATCCCGAGGGGAGGAGTTGAAATAGATTATGCCCAGGATGTGAGGGGTCTATAGATATTTTCTCAGCCCCCTTTCTGACCAGTGCAGTATACAGGACCTCAATGGAGAGCAGGCTGGTTGCAACTGGTTTGTATTCACGATGGTTGCAGTGTCGCAGGATTACATGACCCCCTTTGGTGACCTTCCCAAAGTCAATGGGAAACCCAAATTCACTCAACAACCATGTAATGTAATAATTGCAGCGATTCACTTAACAACTGTAGCAAGAAAAGTCGTAAAATGGGGCAAAGCTCACTTAACAAATGTCTCAGTTAGCAACATAAATTCTGAGCTCAATTGTGGTCGTAGATTGAGGACTACCTGTACCACGGCAGGGTTTGCAATATATTGTCAAATATATCCTTAATTCCAGGTTGCTTCTCTCCTTGATCAGTTTCCATCCATTGTTTCTTGTCTTGCTTTCTGGTGCTTTGGAGAATAGGTTGACCCCCCCCTCTTCTTTGTGGCAGCCCCCCAAATACTGGAATTCTGCTATCATCTCTCCCCCCCCCCCCCGGGTCTTTCTTTTCTCTAGATTGGCCATACCCAAATCTTGCAACCGTTCTTCAAGAAGAGACTGGGCAGCCACTTGTCCAGAGTGGTATAACGTCTCCTGCTTGAGCAAAGAGTTGGACTAGAAGACCTCTAAGGTCCCTTCCAAATCTGTAATCCCAGATCAATTAACCAGTGGAACAGCTTGCCTCCAGAGGTTATGGGTGATCCATCCCTTGAGTCTTTTAAGAAACTGGACAGTCATTTGTCCAGGATGGGTATACAGGGTTTCCTGCTTGAGCAGGGGGTTGGGCTAGAAGACCTCCAGGGGCCCCTTCCAATCCTATGATTCTGTGTTCTAAGCAGCGTTTGTCCACTTGTGGGTGCTCTATCACTGGAAGTTTTTAAAAAGAGGCTGGACAGCCATTTGTCTGGAATAGGAGAGGGTCTCCTGCTTGGGCACGGGGCTGGATTAGAAGACCTCCACGGTCCCTTCCAAATCTGTTAATCTGTAACCCCCAGATCAATTAACCAGTGGAACAGCTTGCCTCCAGAGGTTGTGGGTGATCCATCCCTGGAGTCTTTTAAGAAACTGGAAAGTCATTTGCCCAGGATGGGTATAGGGTCTCCTGCTGGAGCAGGGGGTTGGGCTAGAAGACCTCCAGGGGGCCCTTCCAATCCTATGATTCTGTGTTCTAAGCAGTGTTTGTTCACTTGTAGGTGCTCAATCACTGGGAGGCTGGACAGCCATTTGTCTGGAATAGGAGAGGGTCTCCTGCTTGGGCAGGGGGCTGGACTAGAAGACCTCCAAGGTCCCTTCCAAATCTGTTAATCTGTAACCCCCAGATCAATTAACCAGTGGAACAGCTTGCCTCCAGAGGTTGTGGGTGATCCATCCCTGGAGTCTTTTAAGAAACTGGAAAGGCATTTGCTCAGGATGGGTATACAGGGTTTCCTGCTTGAGCAGGGGGTTGGGCTAGAAGACCTCCAGGGGCCCCTTCCAATCCTATGCTTCTGTGTTCTAAGCAGCGTTTGTCCACTTGTGGGTGCTCCATCACTGGAAGTTCTTAAGAAGAGACTGGACAGCCATTGGTCTGGAATAGTGCTTGAGCAGGGGGCTGGACTAGATGACCTCCAAGGTCCCTTGCAACTCGGCGACTCTGTTATCAAACTCCGCTGCTGCTGCTGCTGCTGCCTTCGGGGACCTTGGACCCCCAGCACCCCCCCCACCCCCACCTGGGCAGATCCGGGGGGGGCGCCAGGTTGGGGAAAGAGGCTTATGCACCCACCCACCCACCCAACCCCGGCCTGGGGGGGGAACAGCGGGGGGGGGTTGAGGGGATTTCGCTGCGGGGAGCCCCTTCGCCCCTCCCCTCATTTGCAAGGGGGCGGCGGAACCGGCCTCCCCCTCCCCCGACCAGCCCGGGTCGCCCCTCCCCCCAAGCCTCTCCCTCCTCGGGCGGGGCCCGCGGAGCTCACCGGCAGCTTGGGGCTGACCTCGCCCTTGCAGCTGTGGCAGAAGAAGCGGTGCTGGGAGACGGCGGCCGTCGCGGCTGCCGAAGAGGCCTCCGCCATCCTCCGCCCCGCCGAGCCTCCGCGCCGGCCTTGGAAAGCCAAACAGCGCCGCTGGGCCGAGGCCGGCCACAGAGCGCGGCGAGCCTAGAGCGGCGAGAGCGGCAAAGCCGGCTGCGCGCTCTACTTCCGCGCCCACTTCCGCGCCGCTCGCTTCCGGCCCGCCCCCTGTCGACCTCGGGAGGGAGGAGCCGAGGCCGCTGATAGGTTTTCCAGTCGAGAGGCGCTTCCGGCCGGGCTCCGTTGCCATGGTGGCCGAAGGGAGCAGGCTTGAGGCCTAGCTGGAGAAGCCTGCAAGGAACGAAGGTGGGTTTTCTTCGCCTGCCCGGCCAAGAAGAGGAAAAAACGAGGAGAAGGTGGCTAGAGGTAGTCCTCGACTTGCAGCACTTCGTTGGGTGACCGAAGTGACAGCAGCACTGGAAGACGGGATTTAGGATCGTTGTTCACACTTAACGACCGTCGCGGCATTCCCCCCCAGGGTCACGTGATCAAAATTCGGATGCTGGGCAACTGACTCCTATTTACGACGGTCGCAGTGTCCCCGGGGGTCACGTGATCCCCTTTTGCGACCTTCTGACAAGCAAAGTCAATGGGGGGAAGCCAGATTCACTTAACAACCGTGTGACTAAACAACTGCAGTTAACAAGAAAGGTCGTAAACTGGGGCAAAATTCACAAATTAACAATTGTCTCGCTTAGCAACGAGCTCAGTTGTGGACATAAGTCGAGGACTGCCTGTAAAGGGTTAGGAAGGCGTTGTAGGGCTGGAAGAGGGGCGGGGAAGGGCAGGCCCCCTGCGTCCTACTCCAGTGGGGGGGGTGGCATTTCTGTCAAAAAGGGAGGGAGGAGAAAAGATTCTCTTCATTATTACTCTTTGTGATATTTACTTTCATTTATTCACCATCTTGTTAATTGAAAAAAAATAAATGATTAACATTTCTATTTCTGAAAGCGTTCAGTTGAGAGCATTTTTGCACACCTGCCTAACATTTTTGCACAGGAGTGTTCAGGGTAGTCCTTGACTTACAGCAGTTCATTTTGGTGACCGTTCAAAATTACGACACCCCTGAAAAAAGTGACTTATGACCCTTTCTCACACTTATGTCCCTTGCAGCATCCTCAGGGTCACATGATCAAAATTCAGACTCTTGGCAACTGGCTCATATTTATGACGGTTGCAGTGTCCCGGGGTCACGATCCCCTTTTGCGACATTCTGAGAAGCAAAGTCACTGGGGGAAGCCAGATTCACTTAACAACTGGGTTATTAATTGAACAACGGCAGTAATTCACTTAAGAACTGTGGCAAGAAAGGTCGTAAAATGGGGCAAAACTCAACAAATGTCTCATGTAGCAACATAAATTTTGAGCTCAACTATAGTCGTAATTTGAGGACTACATATACAGGTTTTTATGGGGGTGTACTGAAACAGTAACTTCCTCTTTTATCCCTGAGATCCAGAAAAAAAATCAGGAGAAGTTTTAACTCTGGATTCTTCTGAATATTTGCACTAATTTGACTCTGAATGCCTTTCTCTTTTCAGATGCAGAGCTGGTGACTTAAACTGAATGGTGGAGTCTTAATTCTAATTTTCGACACTGAAATCCTCACCGGAGTTGTTTACTGATTTGGGGTAGCTCGTACATTTTATTGCAGTCAATTATACAGACCAATATCGTTGTCCAGCAAGATGACCCAGGCTGAAATCAAGCTTTGTTCTCTTCTGCTCTGTGAACATTTTGGCGAAATTGTGGAAAAGGTTGGAACGCAGCTCATCCGCATGGGTGGGCAGACGTTATGGATGATTTCCCAAAACACAAGCATGTCACTTGACCAGGTAGATTGATTTTTTTTAAATTGCATAATAGGCTAGCCTAAACTAAACTCAGATTAAGTATCCATGGTTCCCACTGATGTTCTCACTCACACTCATCAATCCTGAGTGGAATTAAGGATGTCCAAGATGCTTCAAAAGTTGTTTTAGACTAGAGAACCGTGCAATCAATTAATGGATTTCAACAAGCCATTTTTTTCCCTCAGCCACTCAGTACAAGATTAGATATGTTTTACTTTAAGGCTATTGTAAGGTTTTGGGAATGAAGATACAGTA